GATTCACCTTCTCAGGTGTCTCAGGCACCATGTCATTCGACCCTCCTGGAGGCTCTGGTGTGGCTTGCTTCTCCAGAAGGTCCTTCAGCTCCGCTCTGACCTGATCCAAGTATTCCTGACGCCGCGAGACTGCAACATCAAAGGAAAGATGGGGGAAATGTGAAGTATTCTATCAAATCATGCAGCCGGTCACCAATAATAACCCTACCTGCATGATACTTGTTGATTTTCTGCCAGCAACGGTCTGCATGATAGCAATCGTTCAACAATTACAACAATCAACAACACTAACAGTCCTGAGTCTCCGCCACACGAGCCTGCAGATTTTGGATGCGCTTCCTCTCCCAAGCTTGGCGGTTCTAGCTTCTCCGTCTCAAGATCAGCAAGCGGCACAAAGCCCTGAGCATACGCCAAGCTCACAGCAATCTTGGTCACCTGCCCTTCTAGGTGAAGGTTGGCCAACCAGAAATCCTCAACTAGAAAAAGCTGGCAAAACAAACATCAGAACAGGCGCCTCTTAAAAGGCACGTGTGGCCATTGAAACATTTACAACGGCATCAGAGGTGGCCATATCTTGAGGAATGTTTTGTATGAGACATCTGAAAGCGCTTGACATGACTCACTTCACTGAATCACATTTGCCGGGCATCCGTCACTGGGCTGTCAGCATGGGTGATATGTGTCAGATGACTCAGCACCAGATCGTCCGTCAAGGCCAGTTTCTTCAGCTCCATCCTCGGAATGCCCAACTGGCGAGAATGAGACACCGCACTAAAGTATCCCAATCAGCGGTGGAGAACAGAAAGCCAATGTGTTGAGTTAGTTGACACTGGCATGTAGATGTAGATGTCTGAAACAATTATGTGCCAATTTCAAAGCAGCTGCCAATGAATTCGCAATGTTTGCCCGAGGTGATGAATATATCCTTGCTACAGCCAAGGGAAACTGCAGACAAGGCTCTCTTTTTTCTGACCCTGCCCCGCGATCCATGCCAGCATGCCGCAAGCATACATGTCTGCCAAGAGGACATCTTCCTGACACGGCCGTTTCAAGCAACTGATGAGGCAATGGCTTGCTGACAATGGACCCATTCAAGTCTTGTCTTGACCGTGCGTGTGAATGTGAAATGCGGCTCAAGCCAAGGGCCTCATCTTTGAGGTTCTGCTTCTTCAGCGTGTCCTTTCCAAGAATGCTCTTAATCCCCATGGCACCTGTGGCAGTAACAAAAATCATTTGGGCAAATCATTGCAATTCAAGTTGTCAAGGCTGCCAAAGTGAAGCTACATTTTCATTTGATCAATGAACGGCGCCTTGACCCTGAGCACCCCAGAACATATGACGGAATCCATCATACGACTCACCCTCTCCAGAGTCCACAGTGACTTGAAAAATCACGTTGGAGATTTCGCTGGCATACACTTGCGAACTCCACTTTCGCAGTGTGAAGCCTTACATGATGCGTCTCACTCTTGAAACTGTCCCATTGGTTTGAAACAGGCTGGCGGTAATAGATACTGTCTGAAGACAAGCCCACACCACTGACATGTATGGACAAAAGCAACTGTCTACCTGCCAGCGGAACTCTGTGAGCTGAGTTACTGTTGCTCTGAAGATTGATTTGACCTTTGCGCAGACCGTCCTGGAAGTCGGCCACCGTGACCTTGATCGTGGTGAAGCTTCGTTTCGCCAGAATCATGGAGCCTGAGGCAGTTTTACTATGCTGGTGCAAAATCGTGGCGTGCGTCAACAATACAAAAGGTGAAAGTACATGCCAACAGCGGCGGCCTGCTGAGATTCGTTCACGACGAAAAAGGACACCACGTGGCCAGCCGACACAGATAGCCCCAGCCTTGGAGAGGTTTGGCTTGATGCGCAATGTCTGGAGCGTCCGTGAAAAGCAAAATACATAATTATTGAAAGAGCCTCCCTGCACACACCGCAGGTTGAGCTAAGTTTCTGCTCTGCTTGATGCCTCGTGAACTCATAAGCTGCCGCCTCTTCGTTGGGAGGACACGCTGGTCACAAATGAACTGGAAGGGGTCAAAATCAACGCTGCTCACAGCGAAGTATCCAACGCGGGACATGGCTCAAAAGGTGCAAAAGATCAAAGATTCAATGTGATGAGCTGATGAGCGGCAGACTGCATAAAGGATCTCGAAACGCCAACGGTCATTCAAATCCATTTGTGTTATATCGCATCTCAACGCATTTCTCCATGAACCCAGAACACGTCACTCCGCCTAACTTGTTCCCGACTAAAATTGCAGCGTTCCTACCTTGTTCCCGCCTAACTTGTTCCTTCCCTTTCGCCTTGACTCCCTCCGCGTGACACGGGCTCGATGCAAGGCGTTGAGCACCTGGGCCCGGATAGTAAGCTGTCATCCCTTCGTAGTCGTAAACCCTCTTCGTTTCAAATGGTCTGACATGACTTTTTAGAAGCCAGCACAGATCCTTCTCTTTCATGCACCCATAGCACCGAAAACCTTCAATACTCATACATATTATACAGCGTCAAGAATTGGTCGACGAAGCAACTTCTGAGGAGAGGAGTATCCTACACACTTTCAAACTTCAGGATGCATGAGCTCTGCAGGATGCACTTTCAAACCAGAACATCGGCCGTCTCCCACTTGGCTTCCCAGCCGGCTGAAAGCTTGCGATTGAGACCAACCTCAAATGCACGCATGTAGTGCGCGCATGCATTTGGCCTACTGTTGAGGGTAGGAGTGTTCCAAAGAATTTCAATCATTAAGCTCCATCGTAGTTTGCCTCACGAACGTGGACCACAAGAAGCCTCAAGCCAAACAGCATTCCAGCACTGCTTTCAAGCAGTCACACAGCACTGTTGCCCAATTCACGCCGCCAAGCTTCGCGAGGGTTGGATGCGCATGGCAATCATCTAAGAACACAACATGTTTGCCCGGGACATCTGGCCTCAATGCAAGTCATTGTCATTCTCATGACATCTTGTTTCAGTGTCAGTTGGAGTAACCACAACCCAGTAGCAAAGAGGAAGTTCTTGGTAACGCAAAGCTTTGGCCCACCAGCAAGTTCAGGGTTTCCAACCTTGATGGTATACATACACACATCTCAACAATGGAACTGCACAATGCAACTGCCCAATGACAATGACAATGAAATCAAAGGAACAGTTCAATTCCCATGACATCATCTTTGAAGTGTTCTAGGTTGAAGCTCATCATCTCAATCAACAAGTTGTACCTCGCCCTTGTCCGTGCAGAGTACAGGCCTGAGTGCGGAAGTCAATGTCTATAGAGGATGTCAGTCGACAATGACACAAATGTTTCACTTCTGAATGGGTCCATATCAGTGTCCAGCTCATGACGCCATTGTCAGGACCATGTTTAGCCATGGCATGTTTTGACCACTCAAGGTTTGAATCAAAAGACTTGCGGACAATGACAATGACAATGATAACTATGATTCAACTATGACAATGACAAACAGCCCTGCTGGACACTGAGAAGGCAGCTGATGCACTGTAGCTCTACACCTGGCGCACAGGAGCTTCATGGGTAAACATGACACCTTGGAAACAAACAGGGTTCAGCACAGAAAGCACACTGTGCTTTCAACTCTCGCTGGCATGAAAATGACGCATAGTTATTATTCATAAGGACTTGAACAATGCAATCCTCACCTGATCTTGCCTGGATGCTGATGGGTGTCCTGCCGCAAAAAAAAAATATATATATCATTGACAATGACAATGATTTGGTTTTGATTTGGGATTGATCAGTGTCACTTGACATTGATCAAACCAAACCGAACTTGCACATCATCACGACTAAAAAATTAGCAAGACAATGACAATCATGAACGCACTTGTTTTTGACCAAGAGGAGCATGAGCTTCACTTGTTATCACCTGCTGGCTTTTTTGCAGGCTTCACCACATCTGCCTTGCCCGCCGGCCTCTTCTTCACATTGCGCTCATCTTCACTCCGCAACTCGCCCATGTCATCTGATGGGGATTGTGAGGTCTGTGATGCTGCCTGATGATCACCCACACCATCTTCCTGCTTGATCACCTGGATGCGAATCTTGTGTGTCAAGGCAACATAGGTCACCTGATGAGTCGGGACTTGAGTGAGTGACACTGAAATGACGATGTCCTGAACGACAATGACACCTGAATTGCTAACAAGGCCACTGTCAAGTCTGCCACGGTCCCCGCCAAATTCCAGGAATCCATTGACAGTGACAGTGAGTTACAATGGTTTGAATGGCTTGGGCACTGACTGCGGCTGCAGACTGACAAGTGACAAGTCAAAGTTTCCACGTCAAGCTCAACCCCTGCCCAGTGCCAATCAGTCAGTCCTCCAGCCATCAAATCATCCTGGGCAAGCAGTGTGAACATGTTGATGGAATTGTGGGACTCCTAACCACTCCAAAGTTCTAAGTTTCCAGCAGCAGGAAACAAAGGAAGAACAGTTTTGAACCCAAAGGTGGCAACGACAGTGAAACTGACAGCTGACAATGATGTGAGTCTAAGACAATGATGTAATTAAACCACTGGAGCTACCAAACTTTTCACTTTAAGTTTTAACAATCAATCATTTTCACTTAAAAAACATCTAGTTTCACTTTCCGAACTTTTCCATCATTGACATCATCACAAACAACTATATACACAAAAGCAACTTTTGCAACTTGCAAACAGCCACCCAGGTTATATATATATATGTTATGATAGTGGCTGGTGGCGCAGTTTTCACCCGTGCGAGACGTGTTCCTTTTGATTCATTTGATTGGTTGCCGCAACCATATGAAACCTGAACTGATGGGATTATGTCAAGTGCAAATCCCAAGTTTGCCAAACAACTATAAATAGCAAACAATCACTTGGGACCTGCGCTTCGCTTGCAAGACGGTGATGAACACAAAAACAATGAAATATATCACAAAGCCACAAACCATAAGGCGTCCCAGGGTCCCCCCCATTCGTTTGTCACACCCAGTTTTGACCATCACAGGCTCGGTATACCAGCCCACCGCACAGTAGTCCGTGGCAGTACAGTTGGGCCGGTACTTGGCGCAGGGATCTTTCGCAGCGCTGGCGTTACACATGACGGCGTCCATGGAAAAGCTCAGGCGGCCACGGGTGTTGGAGACCAATGCCTTAGGCGAAGGATCACGAACAGTATGCGACGTGAACTGCTCGGTGGAGGCCATCGCAAGTCGGAGGCCATCGCAACTAGCTTAGTGGTAAGAAGCTATAGTGATAGATCATGCGAAGCAGTCGAACGAATCGTCTGCCCGAAGTGCTCATCGTGTTTCCCGTGTTCCCGTCGCCCGGTTGATCGTCGGTTTCCCTGTCCAGCTGTTCGAGCGCCGTCCGCGCCCCCGTCGTTTCCACGTCTTTGGTGCCCAATCCACGGGTGCAGTGGCATTGGATGTCTTCTGATCAATCCAGGCTTTGTTGACTTTCGGACTTCCCACCAGGCCAAACTGGCTCACAAAGCGCTGGGTCTTGTTGGTATAGCCTCAGCCCAAGGCGCCAGGCGGAAAACCGAATCGTGAGGGCCACATTGTTCCTCCCGCCCTTCTGAAATGCTGTTTCAGCTGGAGGCTAAGGTTTCAATCACGTGATGTGGTCTTGACTGGACCAAATTCAGTGGAACTCCTCTTTGTCTAGCCCTCTGGCAAGCAAACTCACATTTAATTATTGGCAGTTCAAACATTACAACACATTGATTAACATTAGCATTGCCCCTAAGGTCTCACTTGCAGCCCGCACTTGATGTCCTAAAAACTGAACAGAGTGTGATCAATGACAATAAATGATCAATGTCATTCGAGACAAACAGGTCCTCATCTGCCGAAACAATGATACCAAATCGTTCCACTTTTGAGGAGTACGCGTGTAACGTCGAGACTGGTCTGGTCACAACGATTCCATCTTCGCCCGAAACAACAAACAACACAGTTTTGTCCTGAGGACCCGGAGGGTTCCAGTGCAAGGGATTCCAGTGATCTCATCTGCCCAGCAGCAAGGCCGATAGATGGGCACATCCTGTAGGATGCACATTCCGAAGTGGGCGACGGCTTGCAGACTGGAGAGACTGGAAACTAACATAGACCCTCGGAGAGACTGGAAGGCTCTCGCCAGATGTCATTGTAATGGGGATCAAAGGGTGGTGCTGCTCTGACAACTCAAGAAGGCATCAGGTCTGGCCAAGACCAATGGTTCTGGGCTTGGTTGCTGGGTGGGGGGAAACCAGCTGTCGCCTGTCGCGCTCGGGACTCCCATCGGTTGCATGTCATAGATGGCGGTCGCTGTGGTCAATCAACTTCCAGAAGCATGTTCCATGCCTATGGTTGGTTCGGGGAGGGGTGCGCTCAATCCACGTTTTCTGAGATGGAGATTTCCAGCATGACTTCACTGGTGGCTGCTCAGGTGTCCCATGAATTTCTACCTTTTTGGGGGGGCTCCCCGGATTTGGACCTTTGTTGCACAAGTCGTGTCACTGACTCTTTGATGTATGTTGTGGAAGTACTTGGCAGGTTGGCTAATTACTCAGTTTCGCACATAGCAGGATGCTGTTTTGTGTTGGCTGGGGTTCCACTGCAAGTGTCAGAGAGTTGTTTGGTAGTACTAGTATAGTTTTCAATCTGCGAGATGAACCATGTCCTTTGCATGTCTTTGTGTCTCCCAGATCTACGAAGATCACTTTGCAGCAAGGAGCTGATGAAAAGAGCACCAGCAATTTACTTGACTGTTTGTGTGACTCTTCCTGTTTAGAGTTCTGCTGGTTCGGAGATGCTTCGGTGATTGTAGATGAGGTCGCGAAGTTACAGGGATATAGATATCCTGGATATGAAAAAGAAAGAACCTTTTTGGCAACTCTGAACTAGTAACAAGTGCCACGCTAGTAGTAACAAGTGCATCGCTTAGTAGTAACAGGTGCCTTACTATATAGTAGTAACAAGAAGCGACTAGGAACAAGTGCCTCGCTTCTAGTAACAAGTGCCTTACTAGTAGTAACAAGAAGCTATTATACATTTAATTCTAATAGCTTTTTGTTACTACTAGTAAGGCACTTGTTACTACTAGCGTGGCACTTGTTACTAGTAAGATTGTTTTCCCCCACATCCTCGGACCCTCTCCTTCCACCAGTTCAGCTTGGAAAGCTGCCAAAAGCGTTGCGCAAAGACCGGCGCCCAACTGCTCGTCACTTTCAGCACGAAGCGGCGGTCGTCCTGGTTGCAAAGCCCTGTGAGAGAAAGTCTTTCTGTATCACTAGATCTACGAAGCTCTTAGGTCTTAGACTCAACTGCGCCTTACTTCAAGAAAAATCACAGTCTTTTGATGTGCACTCACGCTCAATGGCCGTTTCATTGGGCAATCCCAAAAATGGCTGAACAAACACTTTCGCTACTAGGAGCAAGGACGCTACTAGGGGCTCCTGGCCTTACTACTAGGAGCAAGGACGCTGCTAGGGCCTAGGGGCTCCTGGCATCGCTACTAGGAACAAGAAGTTATTAGCTCCACAGCTCCACAGTGGTGTCCCCTCTCCTTGAGTCGAAAGCGAACCCGGAACACCGGTGGTGGAGTTGTGTCCCAGCAGCGGAGCGCGTCGCCTGCATCGCTTCCGGCTTCGCACCATCCACACGGATCGACTGGGTCTTTCTTGACAATCCCCATGTGGCCCGGCTACTAGGAGCAAGGACGCTACGAACGGGGCTCCTGGCCTTACTACTAGGAACAAGAAGCTACTAGTACTACTGTACCAGTAGTAGCAAGAAGCTAGTCGGGTGGAGGCCATCGCTACTAGTAACAAGTGCAACAAGGGCCTTGTTCTGTTTGTTGGTGCCACATATATCTTCTATGTTGTTTTGTGGCTCTGGATGGTACTCCTTTGGCTGTGGGGTTCCAATCTATGAGTCCAAGCAAAGAGTTGTGGGTCTAGAACTCACTTCTTGGATGGGTTGGATACGGATTGGATAGAAGTGTATTTGAGATAAACCATGCGTAGGATGTCTTCTCCGGGAGCCTGCCTGAAAAATAGAAAACAATAGAAACCATGTTTCCCTGTTAAATCTCCCCAACAGATCCAAAGGGGGTCTTTGTGGCAAACGAAGCAACCCAAAGCAATACCAATGGGGCCATGAGTCCTGGAGAAAAGTTGCTTCGACTTGTTGGCCTGCCTGGATGTTCAGGATTTTGACTTCTACTTCAATTAACGTGTGCAAAAAGGGTTCTTACATATTAACAATCACGCCTAACGTACACTCAAGCTAGATCACAGCTAGCACCAATGAGTTACTGGGATGACGGCTTTGGATCAGTAAGAGCCCCCCACCGTTGCTCCCTGATTGCCAATCTGATCATCCCTTGATGATCCGATGATCCCAATGAAAGCTACACAGGTGCCACAATTGTAGTGAACACTCTTTGAGAAAGTGCTCAGCTGCAAGCACAACCTCGACCAAAGCAGTCCCTCTCCTGCTTCCACCATCCGCCAAGACTACGCGAGCTTGGCACCTTCCGCCACAAAGGCGCAGCTCCAGAGGTGCTCATCATGGCCATCCGGTCGGACGACCAGCAGCGCTCCGTCCTCGACGTCCACCGCCGCGCCGAGCGCGTTGGCAGCGGCCGTGTGGGTCGTCCGCTGCGTCCAGCAGAGCCAAAGCAGCGAGAGAAGTCGCATGGTGTGCAGGGCTGAGCGGCCGGGTAAAGAAGACAAGAAAAGGGTCGAGAACAAAGTGCTATACCAAAGTGCTACTGTGTTTGATTGAGAGATACCAAGCATCATTAAGCATCTGATGTTGTAGAATCAACTATGATGATGATTCTTGATGGAAAGTAAGCCCTGTGTCTGCTGGTTCCTGTTCACAGTCACAGAAACATCAGAAAGCGTCGACATGTTCTTTGCATGTTCTTTGCCTGAGCTGGGCATTTGTTTTTTGATTGAATGTCCATGCTGTCAGCAACTACAGCCAAAACGCTTTCAGAATTCTCGGGTTCGCTCTATGTAGGGTGTTGCAGACCTGGTGGACTGATTCCAGTGTTTCTTTGGCAAATAATAAGGCATCCAAAGAACAAACATGTTTGCATGTTTAAACATGTGTACAGTAGGAGCAAACTGATGGAGGGTGCAGCTGAATCTCTCACATGATCCACTGTGATCTACCTCACCAGTCAATCGTCCAAACAAATACAAGAGAGAATCAAGCCTCCTCGTCTTCCCCATGGCGCCAGATCAAACATAAGGTTTAACCATTCAACCCAAAGAGGATCACATACTGAAATAATGACCTGTTTTGTCATAGTCTGTTTATGATGCTCACTGACCTTGAACCCCTTGTCGATGAGGCCTATTTTTGACACATGCCACATCTGCGAGGTTCTTTAGTGCGTACCTCCAGTCGCTTCTGGCTAAGCTTCATTGGCAAACTCCTGTCTCTCTTGCATCCGAACGGGTACCATACATCAAAGAAGTGCAGCAAGTAGGCAGTCTCGCTCAATGAGACACTGCCAGCTCCTCGTGTCTTCGTGCATCCAAAACACGTTCTTCTTCCCAAGCACGTGCAAGCTTTGGCATAAAAGTGCTCCTCAAGTGGACGGACACACACCGAGCGGAAGCTTCCTCACAAACCAAACAAATCCAGTTGTTTCTTTGTTTCTGTTTTTTTCTCAGGGATGCCATACATCGACTATCAGCAAATATCTTATAGTGGAAACACGACCTCAATCTCTTTCTCATTTGGACCTGCCGTGAGGCCTAGACATGATGTTTCACACCCAATGAGGGGAAACCATAGGAGCCCAGGCGGTCGCTCCACTCGTGTGTTCACGTCTTCGGTCAAACATGGTCAAATGCATTCTTCGGACGCAGGTCGTTCTCCAAGGCTCATGGTATTATCTTGCCACGGTCTTCGCGACAAAGTGACACAACAGACCTGACAGGTTAAAGATCGAGGTGATCAATTGAAACATATTGATACATCTAAAAGGCCAACACCGTTTATCTACAGGAAGACCTTCACTCGATCCCATTGCAGAAACCGAACAGCAAGGATTTGCCGGTATGCGACCGGAACGACTTTCACCTCAAGGCGATACAGTTTGCCTAAAGAGCCTATAGCTATTGAACCACTCATTTGTACATGAGGCGAAAGCCAAAAAGACAATGAAGATCAATCAACGGAACATATTGAAACCATGTTTCAGTTTAAACAGGTGTTGAATGTTTTGGGTATTGTTTTAAAATAACTTTTTAGCTGTTTCTTATATGAGCAAACTTCAGGTCCGAGACCTTGAACAAGTAATTGCTGGTTTCGTGGCCGGGCTTGTCAGGTGGTGCCCAAATGTGAACCAAAGGCTTCAAAGCGCCCCGAACGAAGAAAAGCCACCGCGTTCCGCCTCGAATGCCTCCGGATGCTGAACGCCCCCCGTGCCTGTCCGAGCGCGGAGGCGGCTTTGATGAACGACCGGGCGACCTGGTCCAGCTCCGCCAGCTCGGACATTTCCTGCGAAGGAACAGTTCCCCAAACTGCGAAACATGACGAACCAGGACCTTCCCACCTTTTAGACACAGTGACCTCATTCTGGGATCTCAAAGGGTCACTGGAAAGGTCCTGGAAAGTAGCTCTATACCTTTCGCAAAATACAAGGCTTGGTGCCCTGCGCGTTGGTCACAAGCGACTTTTGGTCGATCGTTCGATCAGGTGCCTGGAGCAAGCAAATGGTTGGCTCCAGGTGGTTTTAGAGATGCCCCCCAATCACATTGCACTCCGGCTCACTAAGATGGAAAGAAACCTGTTTGTAGACCACTTCAATGTTAGTGAGTTGGAGGGTACCCATCACAGGTCGTCTCATGGTCTCTCCTCTGGGCTCAGCTCAGGCATCTTCTTGTCCTGACGTGCTGCAGCACCCCGGCGAAAGGAAAGAACTTGTGTCATCGACCAAACACCTTTTCAGTCCACGTATCTTCTTCAAAGGAGTTGTTTGTTTCGAGGGTCAACGTAGCAGGGCTCGAGAGTTACCAGCTAATAGAATGCTCACAGGGGATGATGTCCAAAGAAATAGCATCCGTAGTGATATTATGAACAAACACATATGTGGCCAGGCTTCTCAAGGGGTTATACACCTAGAGTCATCCTAAGTAGAGGACACATATAGGATCATCGCACAACACAACTCAATTTATCGGAAAATTGTTTACAGTTGATCACTTCTCGCGAATCTATATAGAAAACTGTGATGCTGAAGATTGGCCCAATTTGTGGTCCCCTAAACTGGATAATGCAAAATCGGATGGCACATGCTCCTCTTTGGGGCTTGATTCCGATTGTAATTAGTGGTACCTCCATGTGCTCTTCAAAGCAACCTGTGTTCCCAAGTACACTCCTTGCCTGCGAGCCTCCACCCTTAAATATCCTTTATTAACTGCTATAAACTTTCCATTGTTTCCTCTGCGCATGATCTCACTGTTTTAAAGATTTTGAATGAAACTTCGGCTCGTGCCAATCATGGTTTTTAAGAAGGGCAACCCTATACTGTGTCCATCCCCTGAGTTTGCCAGGTTCTGCCAAAAAAACCTTTTCCAACAATCCCCGTCGTCCCGGTCGTCTCGTCAAGGCTCGACTGACCAGCCCCTCTGCCACGTCCGAAATTTCGGTTTCTCGGACAACCAGGTGGTCGGAAACAACGTGTCGTCCCAGTCGACGATGATCACCTCAGAGAGTGGGGAACCCGTTGCCATTCTGGATGAGCAAATAGTCAATTTCGTCGGAAAATCCAGTTCAGGCAAGTGAACAAGAAACACCGCCCCTCCCATCTTACAGTCAGAGGGTTAAAACGTCTCCAGAAATTAGTCTGATTCATGGGGTAGTGACCGGGTAGCGTGTGTATCTTTGATATTTTCAAGACATCCTTTTGAAATCTCAATCTGTCGAACAGGCGGTTGCTTGTGAAATCAACAAGGCGGCACTCTAAAGACGCAGCCCGTCCATTTGGCGAGGTGCACATGGGCTCCAAATGGCCCCCCGGTGGCCCCGTGGTTCAAAAGCACACATCTGAACCGAGGAGTTGTTTCACCAAGGTATCGCTTTCTCCAACCTAGAAGCGATAGCCTCCAACCTAATAGCAAACGACTATATTATACCTTTGTTCCTTTCCTTGTTTCTTTGTTCCGCTTCCAATGGCGATGGCCTCCAACCTACTAGCGTGGCCTCCAACCTACTAGTTTCTCAACCGAGGACGTGTTTCACACAGGTATCGCTTTCTCCAAGTGAATCTGCGGATTTGACTCCAAGTGTCACTATATTTGTGGCCGCCCTCCGGATTGGATCCCTCGACTTCCGCGGAAACTCATGGACCCTCAACAAGCCTCTCTGGCCAGCTCCAAGAAAACGTCTGTGAAAGACACACCCAAAATACAACAATAAACACACATGATACGGAAGGACAACTTCAAGCAAACTAATGGAACGCGGACACCTACGGAACAAACCAACAAAAAGTAGCAAAACAAGCAATGATTTCCACGTAATACGTTGATCAACCACCACTCGTGGCTGGCTCCGGTGGGACGTTCATCGTCGAGTCACGCCTTGCCCAGGGTCCTGCCACTGGGCCGACGAGGTCTGTAGACTCACCTGTTTCGCCACGCTGACGGGCATGGAAAGCTCCAGTGGATGTTTCGCCACCTGAAAAACAACACAAAAAACTCTATATATATATATATACAGTATGTGTATTTGAACCCAAACTGTCCGGAATAACTCCATCCTACCCACAACTATCATATAAAGCTGATTCCTGTATACATGGCCCAAAATTTGATTGAAGAAACCCCAAAAAACATAGATTCCTAGATCATACCATATTTGCATATCATATATATATAGATATTTTATATTTCTCTATACTATTGACCGATGTTGACAAATGCCCTGGCCACGGATCTGTGAGGGCCTTAATGGCCTCTGGGTGTTTGATTCAGACTCCGCAAAGTTGGGGCATGACAAAGACCACTGGGTGTTGAGAAGCGGTGTTTCATCACTTCTTGGTCGTTGGATTGTCATGTAGGGGTGGTGGACATAAGTGACGTCCCTCACCCAGCTGGTGAGATCGACGCATGCCTAGGCACTTCGTCGTTGGAACGATTGCTCACATTGCGGCACATCAAGAGCTCAGCGCCGTCCAATTGCCTTGGGCCAGTCGCTGAAACAAGTGAGACGTGGGAAAGTTCATGAGACCTTTGAAAGGACCTCGAATGGACGTGCACCAGACCCTCGCCGAGCATCAAAACAGTTATCACCAGCCATGTCAACCTCCCATGCTGTTGAGATTCAGGTTTTGGCACTGGGCCTATCGTCACCAGTTGTTGTGAACAACTTGTTCAAGGTAACCTGTTTTCTTTGGGTGGTGAACCTGTTGGTTTTGAGCGGGCAACACAATTCCCCAAAAGGTTTCTAGGGTATAACTAGTTGGAAGGACCCTCAGTTGCCGGATCAAAAAGATTGACTTGTGAGAGGACTCAGGGCACAAGTAGAGAAGTCCAAAAACCTTCGTTTGCTTTGAGGAAAGTCATGTCACCAAACAACCAAAGGACTTTTCCTTTCTCTCACAAACTTGAGCCAAAATCACTTCAAATCCGGTTGCAGGTTGGTCTGCTTCTGCAACTCCATCCGGCCTCCATCTGTCCCAAGCGATGTGTTTTGCTCTTCCTCAAGTCCCCAGGGTGCTCCGGGCCCCATCCTTAAGAGATGTCTATCGTCAATCCTTTGAAAGGCTGTGCAGGGTTCCGGCGGTGCTGTACATTGACATTGTGAGATCTAAATCATATGATATATATGGTCAAAAGCCTCTACTCCTCAAGCACCTGAAGCCCTTGGTCGCCCTTGGTACTTATTTGTGTGATCTTGAAATTGATACTATTTGCTTGTTTTCCTTGTTAAAATTTCCAGTTGAACTCCTTCACAAAACGAGATAAACAACCAAACAATGCAGAATCCACCACCGACCAAATAATCACTACCTCAGCAAAACCAGTCCAGGAACAGTAGGCCATCTTCATCGCTATCCTCTTCGATGCCTTTCTGCTCGATCTCTGGCGTGGTAAAAGACTCCTCTCTACGCTGCACGGATTCAGCACGCGAAACAGTGAGGCTTTGTGGATCACCCGGAACTCGAACGATCACGGACGCACAAGTGACACCCCCCCCAAATCATGAATCTGATATTGATTTCACCAGGTGGAAAGAAGTAGATTTGAGACTTTCTTATTGTCTGCTTGGCTTAATGAACTCGTGTGTTAAAATCTATGGTGTTCTGAAGGCGCACAAACCTATATCGCACTCCATGTCTGGTGTTCTTTGGGCACCAAGGAGTAGGTGGACGAGGGGCAGCTGCCTGGCAGCTCCAGTTCTGGTTATAAAGTTAGGACGGTCTTCAATACAACCTCTTCGCATGGTGAGAATAGAGGAAGTCAAAGTTTCCAACTTGATGGAGAGTTGCAGAGCTACAGGGAAAAGCCTAAGTCATGCCTAAGTCATACCCCAACCCTTCTTCTGAATGGCACCGCATCTTGAAAAGAAACATATGTGTTGAAAACGAAGATTACCAAACACAAAGCAATCACGAGCAGAATCATTGAAAAGGCACGACTTCCTGAGTATAGATTTCCTGTGGGGTCAGCAAAACATGAAACCAATAAACGACTTAATCTGTTGCCCGTATGGTTTACTGCAAACATCCATCGCTCAAACATGATCAAACAAAGCAACATCACTGCTTTTTAATTTGAAAATTTGTCTTCACACGTGGCAAACAAACTTATATAATTTGGACATCATGGCTTATGACGCCACTCATCCGGGATCCTTTTTCAGTTTCCTGATAGGGGGTTGTGCCATCCTTTGGCCTATCCAAAGTTCTGTGTGCGCTGTCCTCCCTTTGCCAAACGACAGAATCTGGTCCGTGCATTCATGAATCTTCTTGTCTGACCCCTTATGGATCGTTCTGCTCATGAGTGATGTCGCAATGTGTCCATTATTAATCTATTGTTTTAAACTGCTCCAATCACCTGCACGCGTAGTTCCTCTCCCACAACATACATCCCATCTTGAACTTCTCTCCCCGACACAATCTCTCACGGCGTCCTTGAGGAGGCTACAGGAATACGCCTTCTTCTCCAATTCGATCTCCAAATCAAGGCCCGACAAGGGCATACCTATCGTTTCTTCTCTTTTGTCACACATACATGTCCAGGTACCTCTTTTCACCGCCATTCACCGGTATCAAGAGTGCATCTTGGAATCTGGGTCATTCCGACGGACGAGCTGGGTGTTTTTCTTTTTAAACCCCGCTTCAACAGGTGAGAAGTAATTGAAGTTTGAAACGACTACCGGCTTCGGAATACAACTCCGGGAGCGTTCCTGTCACTTGCCAGCAATGAAAACTACTTCAAGCTGCATGGTATCAAGGGGCCCATTAGCAGCTGGCTAGTTCTGCACTGTCTTCAAGGAACCAAGCGATAAACCTTATAGGGAGGTACATGATCATGATCTGTGCTCTCAATAAACAAATTAACTATAAATATAAAGTTTGTCTGTGTGAACATGCCTCCTATTCCATTGTTTTGTTACCATGTGTGTATTTGTGTCTAAAGGTGCATCAACCGTGTCCCTTGGAAATTAGGTGCATCAATCGTAACCCTTATACATATAATACCAGTATCACCGATATCAGTGAGCATGAGATGACATTGCATAAAGGTACTAGCAGAACCTTGGAACTGCAAAGTATGATTGGTGATAGCCATCATTGACACGCAGGAACACCTCTTCCGGGTCTTGAAGCGCTTAAACCTTTGCACCAAGTGGAACAACTATCTGAAAAATCTTGTGTTTAACATCCTTTTTACTGATTTTACAGGAGCTTTTTTTTGCGTCATGCTGCATGCTCAACGAACACCACACAAAAGAATGTCCATTCTCTTCTGTTGGGTGTCTCTCAACCTGGGAAAAACGGAACAAGCAAACACAACCTCTGTGAAATGTCGCATGACCTCACCTGCCCTGCCGTCCCGACTCCGAGGCGCTTTGCGAAATACGCGTTGCCATCTTGGTGGCCCTTGGGCTCAAAGGATCCTCACGCTCCCGGCGCATCCGGGCGCCGTGTGAGACGCAGCCACACGGGCGCATCCACTCACACATACATATCATTACATATCAATTCATATTAACTATGTGAACGTTCATCTATATAAAATATGTGTCAGTCCGACTCAGGCGAGGACACAAATATTGGATGTGTTGGGCCAATTCCCCACCTTGAGAGACTTCCAATTCGCGACACCAATGACTTCTCACCTACAATTCACCTACAATTCATCGGTGTCGCTTGGGCCGGAAGCAGTTCAATTCTTCACACGGTTGGGTTGCCGTACGAAGTGGCAACTCTGAAGATAACATGCACAACAAATCGCAAGGGCACCAACCAAAAGCAATCACACACACACACACAAACAGCTTCAACAACTGTGCCTGTGCCGCCCTGCAGCCTGCAAGCATCTGTGCAATAATGTGCAATAGTATTGCCTTTAGGAAAGACCCACAGACCCAAAATGCTCCTCCATACTCCCTTGCGAAACTGCACAGATGCCGCGGTTACGTCATGGACCAAACTGCATCACCTCAGCAACTTGGTTGGTGCCAGTGACTCAGTATATATTTATCCGTACGCAGCAAACCTACATACAGTAGAGGGAACTGATGCAACCAAATTTAACATCCCAGACACCCCGCCAGAACAAACAATCTGCAAAGCTGAGGGATCCCTTCCCCATAGGACCTTCGTCTGCCACGTTACAAACGATCGCCTCACGGTCACAAAAAAACACGTCCTGCCACTTGTTGAAGGCCATCAATGGCACGCTCAAGGTCGCCATTCTGGCACAATCATCGAGAATCCGACCTGCGCAATCATCTGCAGTCGAGACCAAGGGAAGGAGGGAAAGGTCCTTCTCAGATATGTCGGGGAGCTCTTGATCTCCAAGTCGACTACGTCGTTGTATACATGCTACATGCTGATTACTATATACTATCTATACAGTCTATACAGGTTTCTGTAAAATATCCTTTAAGTAAGCAAGCTTAAGAGAGGAACCTTTCCAAATAAGGGTTTGGGGTGGATTTGCAGGTGCTCAATCCCCACCTGATGCAGGGACGGTGTGTATCTACACCTAAACGATTCACAAATCATCCGAGTGAGATCATTCGAATGCATCACCTGAAAACTAACCGTTTCGCATCTTTTCGCAACTGCAGGAGAGACTCCGTGTCCCCTAACCTATTCATCGCTGGTGGTGTTCACGGAAATTTGGCTCAGCCCCAACCTTTGTGGTCCTTGAAGGTTCTCCATAACATGCTAAACATGAACCTTGGTAGTGTTTGGAAAGTGGATGAAAAGTGGTCATAGATCTCTGAAGTTCAAACTCTGAAAGCCAAGAGATGCAAGCTCCACGTTCACGAAAAGCATGATTTCGATTAAAGATCAAATCATGTAACGTGCCACGCAAGGAAAATCTGCAGCTAAATGAAGGAGACAGCGTCGGCCTTCCGAAGCGCTCGTGAAAGCTGCGTCCAAAACATAGTAACCGTAACCATTACCAGTAGTGTCCTTACAGCACGCAATTGACACAACTTGGTAGAGAAACACATGAAAACTACTACTATTCTAAGCTGTGGCCGTTTCATGTTGCTGAGCTACCATGTACCGTATCTCTTTTCAGATTCTTGTTGGAACACAGGCAACTTTTCTCCTAGCCACTAGAGGATCTCAGCACGGCCGTTGAGACCTAAAGGAGTTCGGGCCCGACCGGGTCGTCGCGGCCTGCGGCTGACTGAAACCCTGTCCGGTCGAACGGCTTCCTTAGTATCAGCGGCGAAGAGTGGAGACATGTCGGAGACCAGGCTGGACATGAGAAGAGTGTGTGGCATGTGGAGATTGGGTCTGTCCTGGGCTTTTTGAGGTGGGAGACTACCAATCACCCGTTAACTTTTGGGTTGAGCTTGGTGAAAGCAGTCGAAGCAAGTTTGGGCTTCGGCACACTTCGCCTCCCAGTAGGACTTCTGTGCACATAGGATCGTGTAGGCCTTCAAACCACCACACCCCAACCACGAATGAGAGAAGGAGTTTTATGCTTCCTGCAGCTCTACAGTCAGATTCACCGCTTCTTACTAGCAGTAGTTGGATCCACTGCAAAACATATTATATCATATTACAATTCACAATTCTATATATAGTAATATCTGTTCATCTTTTCCCTGTACGTACACTTTGTTTCAGAAGTGTCACAAAAACTGGAATCGGAGGTTGAGTGGGACAACAATGGAACCTGCCGCTGGTCACGTCCTCAACGACCCAAGCTGATTAGGAAGGATTTCCTACTGGATCACAAGAAGAATGGATCCACTCAGCGTGTGGACATGTCTGGACCACGACTCAGCCAAGAGTCTGCCTTCCGACCACTTGGCTGGGCGCTCCCAAACCGTCGACGGCTTCCTCTTTCGCAGGCTTCCTGCAGGTTTCGCGGGCTAGAAGCACTCTTGAGGGTCGCTAGGAGAGAAATTTCATGTTCATTTCACTCAAGAAATATCTGCAGCGCCTTGTCTTCCCGAACTTCCTCCCAAACAGGAGGAACGATGAGAATTCCAAGAAAACTAGATGAAGTAGTATGAATCAAGAGTCCCAAAACTGCAAATCTGTGTTCCGTCTTTCTTAAGAACTCCCACACTCCCATAAATTTACTAGCCTTACTAGCCGACTTCTTTGCCTTACATGAAACTCTCCCGTCCCAGTGCAGTACCAGCAATTCTGTACTGGCCAAGTGGCACATTTCTCGGCTGGCGCATCATGGTAGGCAGTTGGGATAAAACCTGCATATTGTCGGCAAAGTAACTACCAAATTTGTGAAAATATGTGCGTCTGAGAGTGCTGTTGTTTTCTCAAAGCAGAATGCTCTAACACCAAGGTGCCCTTGCATGAAATATTATGAAATATTGGCTCTAGTTTGAACATGTCAAGCATGGCTCAGGCGATCAACTGTTTGCCACCCAAATCAGTGACTTCACCAAACAGGCTGCCATGGTTGCTCTAGCGATCGATCTGCCCGTGAGTTCGAGCCCGAAGGCGGCGGAGACGGTGCACAAATGCAAACCGTAGAAGTGCTGAGGATTCAAATGCAAACCGACAAGTCCCAAGTGGTTGGAAGATGCGACTGAGTCCTGCCGACCATCGGCTCACTGGGAGGGATCATCGACTTACACCGGAGGAACCGAAGGAACCATGACGCTTCGTTCGGGGCTCCTGGCATCGCTACGAACAAGAACGCTACGTTCGGGGCTCCTGGCCTTACTACTAGTAACAAGAAGCCAGGAAGCCACTATAGAAACAATAATTCAATTAGAATTAGAATTAACTTACAGTAATTAGAAGTTACGATGTGTTTTGGTGGCTCCACCAACAGTGTTTTGGTAACATGTATCTACAGGTTTTCCTCCATCAACAGTGGCAGGCTTCCGCAAATGAATTGCGAAGCCAAATAACGACATCTAACGAATTCCACATCCTCTTGAACAAACAGTACGTTGCCATGTTGAATGGATTGAAACTCAATATGTGGTGGGGCGAATGCGGAAACAGAGTGAACTGCAATACAATATACATAACAAGAGCTGTAGTATTCATTCTGTCCCCACAAGAGAAACCCTTTCAAGCTGTCAACAACATGAGTTTGGACCAACATTTCCGTCATGATGTCAACAACTTGCAGCCAGCCATGAAGAGAACAACCACTTTATAGAGCCAGCCAGCCATGCTTGGGGCAAAAAAGATTGAACAATCTGCTACGTCTTCCGAATCTTGGGATGTCTCCATGGTCGAGCACCTCTTTCGGAGCTTCACCAATTTATCTACGAAAGACAAAGGAGTTGGAAAATTCACTTTAACCTGATTCACTTTCATTTGTAAGACTATAATGCCTGCAAAAAAAACTAACAGGCAGCAGGCACATGAAACACGCAAAGTTGCTCGTCAACCACTTTTCCTGGAAAAAGGTTCCGCAGGATAAACTTGACCCAGAACAACTGGACAATGATTTCTTGGCTGTATCACTGCTACAATCCAACATTGACAATTGCTGTACCTGGCACTGTACCTCAGAGCGAAAGCAAAAACCAACGATTATGATTATGATCAAACAAATTAAATCATATAAACAAACAGCCGAGACTGGGCCTGGGTAATAATTTTCACTCTGGTGATGGCTTTCTTGATCTCAATCGCTGAGATCTTCTCCACACTTGCCCCGCCGAGTAGTCCTTCATGAAGACTCCTAAGGCACCGATGTCAAGGACAGCCACCGTTCGCATGAAAGAGCTCTGTTGATGCACAAAGCATTGCCTAGGACCCGTTCGCCATTGACCCTCCCAAAAAAGACAGTGACATCAGCAGGACCCACAGGAACAGGCCATCACATCTCGATTTCGCCAGCCCGGCAAATCTCCGTCCTCTTTGGCCAATTGGCTTTTGTGTCAGTGCTTGCCCTAATCCGTCGTTGAGCGGTTGAAAAATAAATCCAAAAGAAAGGACAACTTCTCTAAACTGCGAACTGTGTGTGAGTGCCATGATTGTATGGGGAAGAACCAGCATTTATTTTGTTTGATAAGCTCTAGTCGTACACCGTCCTGACTGTGTTGATGTGAAAGAGTATTTCCAACTAGGAGTTTGCACACACACAGAGAGTTTTCCACCTTTGTGTATGTACACAGAAGACCTGGCCTCCGCAAATAAAGGAAATTGTGCTATGACCTCGCCGGTCAAGTCATCTTCAGGTGAATCAGCTTCACATACACCTGGAAGTTTTTAGTTAACATTCAAATACATTGACATACATTGACCATCATTGAACACTGACACCCAAACTTGGAGACACCTTGAAACCTGAACCCCTCCGGCCACCTCCGGCCGCCGAGCTGCCGCTGATCTCGCCGGTGCCGAAGGTGATGGTGACCACGTCGCGGTCACCGTTGGGTTCCACCTGCGTGCGCGAGCGCGACTGTGCGAGAGCGACCTTGCTGGGATACACGGGTCACGACGACCTCGTCCATGATTTTGAATTGCACAATGGTTTTGAAACATGGAGAAACACACGTGAAGTGGATGGTCATATTCCTCAAGTCAGGGGTGGTTTCTTAAGTCATTCTATATTGTCCAGGCTTAGGTCGAACCAGAATAGGGCTTTGAGAGTGAAGTCGGGTGCTCGCCAGTTGACCAAATCGGGGCCGCTTGCGGCCGCGAAGCCCTGCAAGGCCCGGGCCAATTCGACACTGACGGCGCTGCTTTCCAACGTTGTTTTGTGGCACAACCGGTGGGAAAATGGCAACAGAATGCAAAACAAGTCAAACTACAGAATCAAACTAAGACGCCTAACTATGACGGTCAAGAGATGGTATGCAAATCGACTTGTTGAGTGAGCAGAACAAACATGAGTTTCGGGTATACTAGCAGGTCCAACCACCTCCCTCCTGTTCTCCTGAAGTTGCAGCAGTCATAAACGAGGATCATGATGATCATGATGTTGCAGGAGAAACCCTGGAAGTACCCGTGCCAATTCGAAAAGTCTCGCAATCAACACTTTCCGGCTATAGTCGTTCTTTTTCCGATGGTGGGTGAGCGCAGCCACATGGTCCGCGGTCGTGAGACACAGCGGATGCTGCGGCATCGTGGTCCTGGAAGGTGGAGTGGAGACTCTGCTGGGGGTACAAACATTTGACCCACCCTTTGGTCGAAGCTAAAATGACCAGTCTTACACCTCACTTCCAACCAAAAGCCCTGTGAGCTTGCAAAGATATCTTAAGATTTGAGAGATTGGCTTATCTTGGTCTACAAGCACAGTCCATCAAAACAACTCGCTCTGGGTCTAAAGTAGGCACCTCTTGAGTGACAAGCATCACTAAGGTTGTTGGACCCACCCCACCTACCTACCGGGTGTGGCCTTCCTCTCTTGCCTCAAGCCGAACTGCAGGGGATGAGGAGTGGGAGATGGCCTTTTTTGGGAAAACGTATATAAACGGAGTGCATCACACTACAACCTGCTGCCCCTCTACACCCTATACGGACTTCTTTTTTGGAAAACGGGCGTCCCCCAGATCCAATCCGAGCAAGTCGACAGCCGTTTGGACCTCCCAGGAGATTGCAATGGATCTCAACACCCAAATCACCCAAGCGACCGAGTGCTTTGCCTTCAGAACAGCCAATTCGCAGACTCGGATCTTCCTTGCTCCATCGGATCTCCTTTGCATCCTCGTACTTAGGACCTAGAACCAGATCGGATACCGTCCCGCCATGCACTCATACGACTCGCTCCTCATTTGCCATAAGGACTCGCTCCTGGCGCACCACCCGGGTCTCACCGGCACCGGTCACCCGTCGGTCACCCGTTTCGGACCCACCGGTCCCAGCGATCGGACCGAAGCCGAATGGAGATGTATTCACATGTGGACAGAGATCTGGTTATTCCATATGCGTTCCCCACTTGTCCAGATCGGCTTACGGGGCTCCTCTGGGAATTGAATCTTTGAATCGACATCGCCACAGGGGGAGTGTCCTCTCCAGCGGGAGCCTTGCAACCGGCGCCCCGTCCACGATTAAACACCTGGTGTTCACGGTGTTCACCATAGAATCTTGCTTGTGGTAGATATGGGATCCTTTGCTTCTGCGAATTCAATTGGCCTAAATAAGTTGATCAAAACAACCAACACAAGCTATACTAGGCATACAATGTCCTTCCTTTCTTGCTCAGCAAGGCCCTACAATCCCATCGCATGGTTCAACTGGCATTCGACCGATCTTCCAACTTCTGTGGCATCCATAGGACCAACAAGGCAATCTGGCAATAGGATGCAATAGGGCAAGTTCTTTGGCTGCATGTCATCGTATGTCATGGTACATATGCAGTAATTACCCTGCATGCCCGCCCTTTGACAGACTTTTTACCTTTGTGCTGTCATCTAGTCTAACAATGATGACTTCTCCTGATTGAAAACCCAAGTGGAGGCCTTGTCAACACCTGGTTCTCTCTCTCTCTCTCTCTTGTCAAGAGCAATGGCCACTGGCCCAAAACCTTCATTTGCCCCAGGACGGGTTACTATGAGTCGGAATGGCACGTCTCAAGCAGGCAGGGCGGACGCATGCTGCCGGACTTGCCTGCAATGAGGTCCCATCACTCAAGGGAGGTGGAATGAGTGACCAAACTCAAACGATCCAAACACCTGGACACCTGCCTCCGAGGCTCGCAAGCACCGCCAGTTTGTCGCTTTCTGAACATCTTGTAACTGTGACACAACAAACAATAGTAATTCAATCAATTGTTGATAGTGGTGAGAACACGGGCCCGATTCGAATTAGTCATGATTCAAGACTATGTTTCGACTGTCGCTGGGTTGGGGGAGGACCAAGGGAAATAGAGTTTCAATGCACTTTTTGTTGGCATGTGACTGTGTACAATTGTAAAGCTAGGCATAAGTGTGCCAAAGTGAAAACGATAGGAAGATTTGCAAATCATGTTCCTCTCGTCAATATGAACTATACACAGTTCACGTGCCTTGAGCTACAAACAGTAGTCAATCACAAGCAATTTTGTGATTCACAAAACAGCACATAATTGCACAAGATGGTCTGTGTGATCTCCCTGCTGTTCTGAAACATGTGAATGCTTTCAACAATTCCAATGTGCTGCTGTATGTGAGTCTTGCGTGTTGAGGGCGGTTTTGATGAATTCCATATGAAAAGCTTCAAAGGCGTCACCGGTGCGCCTCCTCCTTTCCAACCATACCTGGCAGCGACTGCCGGGCGACGGCCGGGCGATTCCCATCGCAGGTCGGACGATGATGAAGGATGAGAAGGAAGGCAGTGAAGGCACATACCCAGACACGACGAGTCTGGGGCTGCCATAGGACTGCCGATCAATTGACCCCTATATATAGGCCTACCTCAACTGATCGGCATATATTCCATGGAGCGTCTGGGTACTGGTAGCCGGACATACCAAACGTAGAGAGTTGCTGGTAGCCGGACAGGACCAGTTCCGAACACACCGTCGCAGGACCGTAGCCGGACACACCTGTTGACGATGAGAACTGGTCCACCAGCCGTCTGCCACTGGTCCACTCTGCCCTGGTCACATGGTCACCACACTCACAGACTCTCAAACACGCTTACATATGAGGACAGGGGTACCGGGTAGACTGAAAACAGATCGTTGAATGAATGAACCCTAGGCCCTGAGATTTATTAATGAACCTGTGACTGGGGTATTCCACCCAGTATTAAGTGGAGTCAACCGACCATTGTTGCTACTTCAATTCGTTGATGTCACACAGTCGCACATCCGGTGTATCCCATCAATTCTGACTACACTGGCAAAACACAGAATCAACTTGATATCCGGCACAATCTAGGATGTGTACCAAAGTCTACACCTGGCCCATCCTGACCCAGGTGATTTGGAAACAAATCTATTTGACAGCTTTATCAGGAGCTTCCAGCCTCAATCTACAGAAGACAGTGGAGGTCATGGCACAAACTAAAACGTCTCCAGTCGATTGTACAACGGAGTGCTATCCTGTTTGACAGGTCTGTCCATGTTGGTTGGCAAGGGCCTTCATGAATGCAGCAAATTCTAGACAGTGCATTTTGCTTCAAACCGTCATCTTTCAAAGAGCCACCAACATCAGTCTGCTGCGTGATGTAAAGAACCCCAAAACATACTCCTGAGGCCCGGCCGAGACAATTGGGATAACGTGGGAAACCCATTTCCCAAATCGCCCAAATAGAAATGGAACAAATCGAAGATCGCCGCCCTCGGTCGTTGAATCGTGTCCGCGGTGCATCATCGCATTGCCCCAATTGCCATTACCTGCGCGGCGTTGAACCAGAAACCGGAGCCATGTCCAGGGAGATCCCAAGAATTGAACATGTCGAGTTTCTTGTTCAACATTTTACATGTTCTTGTTTCCTGCTAAAAAAAATAGGTCGATGGTCACTATAGTTCCTAGGTGCATCATGTGCGTTACCATCTTTGACATAGCTTCCAACTCACCCCAGGTGGCTTCGTTTGTTCATGGACGATGGTATCCAAGTCCCTGGATGCGGACGTGAGGTCTCTTGGACTCCGCCAGAATTCCGAACCTTTCTCCTCAATCTTTGTTGGGTCCCTCATGGTCCCCCACTGCTCAAACATGAACATGTTGGCATTCCATGCGAACAAGCCCAATGCTTCACATCTTGTGATGGCGTTGCTGCTGACCTTCAAAAAAAGACATGTGAGCCCTGGTCAAGACCTCTAGCCAGCTGAGGGATATGAGTTTCAACAAACAACTACGACTACAACTCAATACAAAGAACCTGATAGGTTGCTAACGTATTCAATTTATTTCAATTTCCCATTGTCGTGTGGGGTCTGTCCCTCAAACAATTCAAACGATTGCGTATCGTTCCAGTAGATCTATTGAATTGGCGCACTCCCCAGAGCAAATGTTCGCACGGCTCTGGGGAAAGGCCTGTATGCCTTTAGCATGTATTGGAACCTGGGAGAAGGAATTCCGTCTTATAGATTCCCTTCGCCTGCAGGGGGAGCACACAGAAGAACAAACAACCACCAATGATCACAATGCCTCCATGTTGAATTGGATTTGTCATCATGGCCATACATTCACATGGCCATAGACCTAAACCCAACCGGAACGACCCTCAGAACAAAGATCTCATCTGTACTGTCGATCTGAAATTGCGAACATCTACGTCTGATGCGCGCGTCTGGGCCTGGTGGATCAGGAGGGTAGAGAAAATGCAATGAAAAGATCAGAAGTGTCAGGATCAGGAACGTATACAGCAAGTCCTTCCACTGATCGTCAACCAACTCCTTCAAGTTGGGATTGTGGACAGGATAGCTGTCAGGCGTCGCAAAGACATCAAATAGTGCAGAAGCCAAAGGTTCAAATCGGGTGAGTTAAGAAATTGGGCATCTTGAGCCACATCAGTCAACACCTCAGAAGGGCGTCGTCACTTGACCTGACGCTCCTCTCCTGCTAGTATCGAGAGCCAACCTGGCACTGCAAAACCTGGCGTCGCTCACCCATGATGGGGAAAGCAAAGATCTTTGCTGCATCAGCCTGATTACAGCCTGAGAGCACATCAATGATGCCCCTGCACATTAACGCAAATACCGTCAAGAACCTGCCCCCGGGACCGGGCAATAGAAGAATGTGAACGAAACCTTCCTCTGTTCACTGGCGCCTCTTGATGAACCCTCAAGAGCCGCCAAAGCAATTTGATAATTTGTAATATCAAGACTCCAACACCACAGGTTTCAGGGGGTCACTTCCCGGCCCTCTTTCTTCACCTATCCTCCCCCCACTTCCATGGCCAACAGCCCCAACCAACCACGGCCCTCAAAAATGCGTGCAAGCGCCCGCGCCCCAACCGCGCCTCCAGGTGTGTTCCATGGGATCCAGCCTGGCAAAGATCCGATCGCGCGGGTCCGTCCAATGGATTCCCCGAAAGCGTGTCCGAACGAACGAAGTCGCCGTGATCGAAAAGGTGCCTTGATCTTAGGCCCGTGAGGAGAGAGGGGACTGGAGGAGAGAGGGATGTACAGGATCCTCTCCTCCAGTCTCGTGTACGGAAGAATCAATCAACTGATGGCATCTGATTTTCATGTCAACTCATCTGTCGTGGCGGAGGGGAACCTTCGACTGCACAAATGTAATTACAACATCTTCCGGTCATTGGATGTGTGCTGTGCTGTATTTTGCATGTACGTGGACGTTTTATCACACAAACGGTCACAATGCTCTGTTGACAGCCTGACACCCTGGAGTCTTGCTTACGGCTCTATTGATCTACCTACACAAGGAGAAACAAACATTCTCAGCACGAAACATGCAGTGCACTTTGCTCCGACAAAGAAAAGGCATGAAAAGGCTGAGTCAGGATAAGTCTTGTTTTCGCACTCACTGTTCGCAGTCTTCCAGTGATCACAACGTCCGCCGCCCACCGGAACCGACCACCGGAACGCGCGGAACGCGCGGAAGGTGTTCCGAGGCGACGGGTGGTTGACGCTTCGATGCGCTCGGCCTGCACCGCCCAAATGAGCCTGAGGAGTGTCGAAGCACATAGATGAGCATCGAAACGTTATGTGTGAGGAACTCCCGCCAAAGAAAGAAAAAGACCATCAGCACCTCCATGCAAGTATATATATTTAAAAAAACACACACAATTCAAACATCCATCGTTTTGGCCCTGCCCGGTGACCACGGTTTTGTGGGAAAAAAGGGGACACGGGTTCGAAACTTGTAATTTCAAGTTGCCAGGTGTGTGGAAATTACAAGTCCTTTCTTTTCAACCAACATGAACATCCACAAGTCACTTGGAGTCCAATCCCCACATGTATGTGTGTGTTTTTTCCCCCAAGCCGAGGACACTGTCAAGACCTGAAAAAAGCCGACCTGAAGGGAACGTCGATTGTAGGGCTTGTCACCTGTAGATGGGACTTGTCTCACATGAGATTGGCCATAGCCTACGTTAAACATCTTTAAACTGGTTGATTTAACATGTTGTGTAAATGCTAGTAGTAAGAATGCAAGTGTCCCAAAATCGTTCTGCTGCAAGCTGGTTATGGAGAAAAAACTCTCCCTCAGTTCCCTCATCTTCGCCATTCTCTCCGCCTCCGGGGACTCCATCCTGGCGACTGGCGCTTTGGGACAAAGCACTTCCTTTACTGCTTTGGTCTGAGAACAAATCCACCCGTCAACTTAAAGCTCATGCTAATTTCGATGGATTCAGGGTCTACGAGGTCTATGTGGACATTTGGTTGGGTTTCCAACAGAATGCCCTATGTAGATATAGCTACGTCAAAGTGACTTCCTGGATTTCTGGCTCAGCGGAACTGGTGACTCAAATCCAAGAAAATTCCCTTTGTTCTGAATAAAAACACATCACATCATATCACATCCAGAAATGAATAAATCCATATTTAAAAAAAAACTCATCAAATTCTGATTGGTCAACGCACTTCACAGGTCACGAGCGACCAGTTAAAGGTCCGACATTCCCAGGTGCAACCTGGGATTCGTTGAATTTTAGATTCCTAGACCATTCAAGAACGCAGCACTTGGTCGTTGCCATTGACCAAAATAGGACCTTCTCAGTTCCAAAATGTCTCTGGCTTCATTCCATGTCAACACTGCAAAAAACGAAGAAAAACACAAACTGACACATGGAAACAACCGCAAAAATGAACCCAACTATCCGAACTCAGTGATCAACATGGACACATCATCAACACAACACTCCCATCCCACCATGACGTCCGGTCTTTTTGCCGCTGACGGTGAAACACCGGAGGTCGTGCCCGTTCCGGCGCCAGGCGCTCCAAAGGCAGTGGGTAACGGGATGTAACGGGATGTAACCGGATGTAACGGGTGTTTCTTTTGTCACACGTGACACGGTCTGTTCCTTCTTTTTGTCAGGAAATCTATGGAACACATGTTGTTTGATGGGTTTGCTACTCACTGGCTAGGTCAGTAACAGGTCCACGTGCTGGTGAACCAAAAGAACACAGAAATTACCAAAGATAGCAATAGTTTTCCTGGGCGGATGGTACTTGGAAAGCTCTGGTACTTTGACTGTCTCAAAAACTAGCGAAGAGAAACCCACACAGCAATTTGGAACAGTTTCAGCATTGCAAATAGAATTGATTTGGTTGGCTTAAAGTTTAAAAAGAACCTCAAAAACACAAAACAACAGGAAATAACAACAAGTTGCGACTGTGTGTGTTTTTCTTACAAGAAAAACCTGCCCTCAAGGGTCGGTGCCCAAGCTCAGTGCCTTTGGGTGGCGCAGTCGCCTCAAACCGCCTAAAACCGGCGGTCTAGGACTCCTCCATCCGATGGGCTTCGTTTTTGGAGCTGATCACCTCGGAAGTCGTCTCCGGGTGGAGCGGTGACTTAGGTTGAGGCCGTGGGGTGAGCCGTGCGGTCCGAGCCATGGATGTCGGGCAGTCACCCCACATCTTGGATCAGTGATCTACAGCTAAATATATGACTGTTCATACAGTTTATGGTTAATTACTATATTCTGTAGACACTCCCCAGAGTACACAAACAAGCAACCAAGTAGCAGCCCATGTTTTAACCCCTGCTTCTACCGCCAAAAGTACTGTCCCATCCACCCATGAGGCCAAATGTACTGGAATGATCTGGAGCCTGGTCTGGAGTGATCACATCATGTCATCCAAATGTCTGTCAACTCCGTCTGCAAAACAAGGCAAAGTTCCTCTCAAGGAACAAGCATCTGGGTGAAGCATACAAGTGTTTGCCGTCAATGGTACATTGGTTGCAATGGATGCGATACAGCTGACTGTCAATTGAACATTGTCCAAGAACACAAAACCATGCCATCTCTGCGAGAAGTCTTCTGACAAGGGGTGACGTTGAACTTTACTGTGTCCAACCAAGCCTCCAACTGGCCCCGAGCAATCCGAAGTGTTCACACATCACAGGGCGGCCCACATGGGCTAACACATCCGCCCAAGAATAAATCATTCACAGGGGCCCCCCGGGCCAGGGCCAGCGAACGTGGGTCGCGCCGGCCATGCGAACGTCGGTCGTCGCACCAAGCGGCCACTCCTTGACAGCTCAGCGTGGTGAGGCCTGATCGATCGGAGAGGCGGAAGCGGAAGTGCGCGGCGGAGGAGGCGGCGGCGGCGGATCGGAGAGGGTTTCCGCCGGGATCTTCCGGGCCAAAGGGGGTTGGGAATGGGGAAGTTGACTCAGTAGCCTTCCAACCTCCCCGCGGAACAGGCACTTGTCCAACTACAAACGACGTGTCGTCCAAATGTTTCTGTTTCGTCATGGGCCGTTTTGGGACCGGCAACTCGCTGGGCGAACCCCAACGAGGCAAGTCGTGTCAAAGCAGCCAAAGCCCCAGTCAGTATCTAAAAGTGTATTTAGCTGGTGAAGGTATGTAGCTGGCTAGAGCATGCCAGTCTTGTTTAGCATGTCCCAGTCAGTTTAAAGTGTTTTCCAGTCCCAGTCTCTCCGTTGACCTCTTTATCCTTCACCTCCTAGGACGGACTGCCCGCGACCCTCGGCTCGGCTCGGCTCGGTCGAAGCCAAGGGACTTCGTGGTAAGTTGGCATGCTCCAGGTCCTGGGAGAAATGAAGGAAAGCCACGTGTAGAAATCACACATGCCAAACACCACACTGAAACGCCAAATGGACCAACGTGATCAACCATGGAACAACAATTCACAACATCAGTGGTTTCGGCTCCAGCGGGGAGTCAACTCCAGTAACCCCCGACAGCGGGGGGGGTCCTGGAACCGCTCATTCCAGTCGTGATCGTTGAAGATCAGGGTCGTTAAGTTCGGCAAAATGATTTGATTCAAGTTCCTCGGGATTCCGACGACGATGTGATGTGACTGTGGTCCCGAGTCACGGGAAATGCCACATGCCTATGTATGTGTATTGTCCCCAAGTGATGTGGTTCGTGCAAATGATCCTACCTTTCTTGCTCGTGAATCACCACAAAGCAACATTGGGGCTGCAAAGAATCTAGAAGACTGAACATATGCCACTACAAGTGGGGTTCATCCCGTGACCCAGTAAGGCTATTATATGGTCAATTACTTGTTGCTTGGATTTCATAAAACAGGTGATATATCATTTGTGTTAATTACTAAAATAGATATGCCTTGGTTGTTATTACAACATGTGGATTAATATGCCTTGGTTGATGCGCCTCTCTCAAGTATTAAATCTGGAGCAAGGCGTGCTCCCAGATTCCAAGAACGACACGGCACTTCCGGCACTCTATTGCGGACTTGCCCCAATTCCCGACCCTCAAACTTACATATAGTATCATGGCATATCTAGTTACATAAACATTGCCGCATTGCCTTGAGCAATGTGTGGCAACCAAAGGCATGTTAAACAAGGGCCCGACTTTTGTGAACCTCGACGGACACCAGGGCGCTGATTGAAGGCACGGCCAAAGGCCAAATGCTGCAGTCCGTCAGGGAATTTCACACGTTCCTGAGACTGGGGGTGCAGTGGCTTGCAATCAAGCACAGTGGGTGAATAGAGTTTGGTGGCAAGGACATCAAGAAAGAACATGTCCTGTCTAATTATATAAAATTGTCAAAGGAGGGATCCTTCTGAGAAAACCCTTGTTTCACATACGCTTTGCATCAGCACGCACCGTTTTGAGAAAGCAACTTCTTGGCAATCCTGCAGTGGTAGCTGTACTGTTTAACGATGTATTGTGGTGCACTCAAACTCTCCAAACAGACCTGCTCTTCAACAAGATCTTGTTCAACCGATCCAAAAGGTGCACATTTTGGACGAGACTTCCTTCAAACGCCATGCGTCTTTCGTCTCCATGCGAGGAAGTCAACGGTCCCGTCGGTTCTTTGGCCATGCTGCACTTCTGCCAAGGCTCTAAGGAGTGGTTGAAGCCGTCACCCATCACCAGGCTGGTCAAGGTCTCAGGTAAGATCACCTGCACGTAGTCTGACGTCGGACCGCTGGACGGTGTGGTTGAAACAGTGTCCCTCCCAGGGCTCAGCTGTCTCAGGACTCAGCGAAGGGGTGTTTTTCAGTGTCTCATGCTGTCCCATCCCCAAAGTGAGCTTGGAGAGTTGCCTCTCCAGGCCCTGATTCACTGAAGGACCAAAGGGCCCTTGAAACCTCGTTGAAATCGGTGGATCATGGAGGGTGAAGATGTCGTAACTTGGGCCCATCTTCCTGGTCATTACTGTAGCTGAAATGAAATCACAAGATCCAAATACTGTTCAGAAACACATACTAGTAGTAGGTGGTCATCAACCCAAAATAACCGCTATTGCATAATAATAAGTACCTCCACAACAACTACAATATCTGGTAATATCTGGCTGGGCTTTTCACTGCTTAGCTTGAGTAGGTGATGCATTGATCTGCTGGTGCTTTTCACTCCTCTGCCAGGCCGACGTGGCAGCCTGGTCGAGACTGTGATTGAAGGCCCAGCCAAAGCTCAGGGATTCCAGCCGTGAGGGCAACGCCACCTGAGAGCGGCAGGGAGGCAGTGCTTTCACACAGCCCGCATGATGTTCTCCATGATGTTCTTGCACATGAGCTTGACTATTTTATTGATTAAGATTGAAACGCATTAGTTGATTAGGTTGGTGGGTTGCACGACGCAACTGCTCGGCCAAGTGGCATCCACTGAGACTGGAGCAAAGCTTATGAATGGAATAGAAGTTAACTTACGTTGACCCCTGAAACAGCCTCTTGCTGCAAATATACATTGCTTGCTGTGCGTCGGAATTTAGAGGTTCATAATCTTTGTGTCAAGGGTTCCTTCCGGCTGCTCTGGTTCAACCTGGCTGCCATGTCTAGTGCACTTGACAAAATAGCCGCCAAAGCGCAAATCTCTGACCTCTATCAAACCACTACCATCCAAGTAAGTATAGATCAACTAGCACCCAACCCCTCGAAAGGTCACTTGGTCCCACCAGTTCCCACAGCACACTACGTATACCTATTGGAGGTGTGTGGAAGTGTCCGTTTTCACCGGGATTTTCATGCACACACATACACCCTGGGCTGTCTTTTCCTGGGGAATATGGACACTGGGCCATGGACCATGGAGTTTAGACGTGGTTCGTTCCCACCATGGTAAATGAAACAAAATCAACATGACTGGAATAAGCGGTCCTCCGAGTCTATATTCTTGAACCAAATAGGGTAAGGAGGAGAGCCACTTTGTCATGGAACTGAGATCTACCTCGTCAAACTAAGGGTCCTTCAAGTGTCCTGGATTCTGGCAGTCGACCAAGAAAAGGCCAGCCCGTCACGAACACCAAACGATAAAAACGGAACTTCCCACATCTTCACACACTCTTGGGTGTTTTGGAAAAAAACACATCCACATCTTCACCATCTGACTTCTGCGTCAGAATGTTGGATTCTGATCTGGGGGACCTGCCAGCTCTGCTTCAGTCTATGCGGAAGATCGCTCACATCGTTCACGCAGTCCCAGTTCAAAAAATGAATCTGTACATACCTTCCACACCCACCTCGACCCACGTCAACCCATCGATCATTCTTGCTGAGGAGCTTGGTCCAATGATTGGTTGAACATCATCCCAAAGGAGATACTCTTCAAAGTATCCGGAAACTTTGCCTCCAAGCAAGGACACACTGGTGCATACATGGGTTCTTTGAATATTATAGGACTCCTTTCAAAGGGACTGCTTCTGGTCGATGACAGGTAGCTATCTCTTCCCTCCTAGGACCCACGAAGACCCTTGAGTCTCGTCGATTCCTAGCGCTCAGGGTGGTGAAAGGTCAACCCTTTAAGGTCTTGATATGTCTCGATGTATCAAAAAACCAACCGAGAACCAAACTTCCCCCACCCACACCTCAAAGTTAGTGAAACTTCATATACATATATATATATATAGAGGTTGTCTCGGAATATCCCCGCTTAGCTGACCTTCAATGAGCACAAACATTATACGGCGTGGACCAAACATCTGTTGCCTAGCAAAACCAGGTGAGCAAACAATATTCCCGGATTCCACGTACTAGTACTATAGTGCCAAAGGTGCCAAAAGCACGAAAGAACTCTCACTTACCGCCGCAAGTTTGGCGTCCCGAATCGTCCCGACACATATTCTAGAACCAAAACGCACCAGAAAAAGGCGCAGAACGCCTTGAACGCCTTCGCGTTGTTCCGGGCCTTCGAGATGGGTTGGTTGAAGTGCGTCCCAAAGCTCAACGTCTGAAGACGCCGTGGCCAAAGCACGCCTCTCTTCGATCCACGCTGCATGCGACATGACTCGGAGATCGGCTGTTGAAAGACTTTCGGCACTCGTTATGTGTTTTTTTGCAAGCGGGGTGGCAAATAGGATGTCGTGGCCGTGGCTATCTCTATAGCTGTAAGGCACAAGGACTTTCCACACTCCTCCACGTGTGAGTGGCTCGAGAATAGCAGGCCCCCAGTCTGAACTAAGCTTTTCAAAGCACATTGCACATAGGAATGAATACTTAAGGGATTCCAGCTGGCAACAGAAAGCAAACAAAACAAGGCAAAACAACTGACAACCAGGCCAGCCAAACAACCCAAAAGCCAACCAAACCACCCGAACCCTCCCATGTTCCTACCAAGCAAGACACGGTCCAGGCTCTGGTCAAAGACCCGCCCCAGGTGAAGGTCTTCGATCGAATCGGGGAACTCCACATCCTCGGGCAGCTCAGAAGCTAGATTATATGATTCTATCGTGGCTTCGTCTTTGTGAACTTGTTTGTGATAGAAGGCTCAGGTACAAAGCTCCAAGGGATTCTCAACCATGAATCAGATTCCAAAGAAGTTGCAGTCACAAAAGCACCAAGAACATACACTCCCAAGTGATATATGATATATATATATACATATATAATATCTATTCGCTGATGAAACGTGATTGAACATTTCGCCCATTGCCATTGCCGAACTCCAAGGATCGTCAATACTTTCGTCGAACTCCCAATCGAAGCTGAACTGCCTCGAGTCGAGGTCTCGACATGTCTCGACGAGTCGACGCAAGGGTTTTACAGAAACAGCCTGTTGCAATCGATACCAGTCTATAGTCCTCCATTTCCTCTCTGGCTCTTTCTGGCTCTTTCTTGCTCTTCTGTCTTCCCCTCAATCTCAATATCCCTCTCTCTCTGTATGTTTCCTTACAGGTATCTCACCGTGGCTGATGTCATATTTGTTCCACCCACTCCGACCAGCAGGACAACGGTTTTGTTTGTTTTTATGTTTTATTGCAATCCGGATGTACTGCAAACATGGTAGGTTTTTCTACAGTCAGGATGCCGACTATTCAGCAATTAGGAATGCAATCGGTAATGTCCTGGTGACTCAACAGGATGTTCTCTCTCAACAAAAAAGACACTGTTCATTGTGGAGAATGATAATTCACTTACTCCATTTGGCCGGGACGAATGATCATCCAAGTGTTTGCAGAAAGAAGAAACATGTAAACCAAACCGTAAACATCATGTTCATTATGAAGCTTCTTGAGCAAGCTTAGTAGGCACTCAACATAGAAAAAAGTCAGCTGACTAGCTGACAAAGCTGAAGTCACTGTCAGTCATTATCCAACCTCTTATGTGAGTCGAGCAATGGTCGAAACTTCTTGCAGCATTGCTTTTTAGATTGTGGCCTATGAATTTGAGCTGGCCTCAAGCTGGGCGGCAGCTTGGCATCCCTCAAGTTCACAGTGCTGCCCACAGTCAAACTCTCCAAGCTGTTTGGCAACTCGAAGTCGGCCAACCGGTAGGTAAAGCTCTCCGCAAGCACCAGCCTGCACGAGCCGACATCGTGCTCCCATCGAGTCTAGGAACCCTGGTAGGTTTCATCCCCAGTTCGAGATTCAATCCAGCTGGCTCTAGTGAGATTGACAACTACTGTAATTACAGTATATAGTTGCTACACGCTCCCGTTTTCTCAGCGTTGAAAGCATCATTTCGGCCACTGAATATACCTTACAAAAGCAGGACGTCTTGGGATGCGACTGCCGTTGCTGAGATCTGACAAAACCTGTGGACAAGACCGTAAATCCGATCGTCGTCCACCGGGACCATGAGCATACCTGGATCTTCCAACTATGCTATATATATATATACATTGCCTTTTGGCCGATTTTTCCAACGTCTAAGCTGCCATCTACCCTTAGTTCCGACGAAAAAGCGAGCCAGGAACACAATCCAAATGCGTGGTAATATACATATAGACAGAGACCCCTCCTAAAGTTCACCATCTAAAAGTCCAGGCAAAAGCTTTGCATTCATGTCCAAGTCCAAACACCTTTCATACCTTTCGCACTTTGGCACACCTTCCATACTCTGTTTCGTTGGCCGCTCGCGGTGATCGAAGGCCTTTTGAGGTTGGTGAGTTGGCTCACCTGGAGTAGGTGCTTTTTTTGAGCGGGAAGCATCAGGAAGCCACGTTTTTGGATTGTGACACATAGAGGATATCAGCTTCTAAGATCTTCTGAGTTCATCTCGATGGCTCTGTTCTGTGGTTCTTCGTCCAAACATTAAGTCAGATGCAAGCCTACCCTGCCCTGATTCCAAAGAAGGAAAGCTATGGAAGTGAATAAGATTGAATGAGTGTTTCCTTCATCTCCCTGTGGCCAATCTCAGTAGTAGAGGCTCCAGGAAATGCAAACACATTCTCAGCTTATCGAAGAGAACGTCTTGGCATGTTTTGGCACTCGTTGGCACTACTACCTGGACCTGCAAGGGATGTCCAATGGAGATTGCTAAGTAGTGTAGGGGCTTCCATTGGTGACCCCTACACTCAGCTGGATATATATATATATTAAACTGTTCATATTATTGTATAAACATATACATATATATATATATTATAATATTATATATATAACAATAAACCAACAATAAAGCATGCAAGCAAGGATGAGTGCTGTTATCGTCCGCTCTGTTTTGCTCTCCCAGCGGCACGGGAGGGCAACACGACGGGACCGCGGCATTCCAACTTTGGGATTGGTTTTGCTTTTGGAAGCCGTTGAAAGTGTGTAAGTTAAAGGCTTGTCGACTCGACCCCTACAGTCTTTTCTGTCTCCTCAAAGCTGTTAAAAGGCCAAAGACAACTCAAGACAGGTTGGGAAGATGTTCTAAGTCTGAAAGACCTTGGACCAGCTTCTGACCCCACTCTGATCCGTCTCCGACTGTGTAAGCTCCACGGAATTTCACCCCACCTGGCTAAGGCTTTGGTTGAACTTGCTGGCGAAGGTCAGTGTCTCCAAGCTCCGAGGCAACGTCCTGAGGAATGTGCTCCGAGCAACGTCCGGCAGCGGCGCAATCAAAGCAACTGGTTTTGGTAGTCAATGCCGGTAGAAGCCTATAGCTGATGTCACAAAATTGTGAATTCTGGAGAAGGGAAAGTCATAGGAAGTCCGCCATTTATGGCTCCATGGTCTACAAGTAAAAAAATACGTTTCAATGACTCCCCAGGTTCCTTCCCCCCGTTGTTCCAAGGCTCATGTCATCCAAGGGATGGTTCCAAATACTCCGAAAGCGGAACTCCAACTCCTTCCTGCCGCCACGGAGCCACGGGTGGTTGGAGCTACTAGCAGCTACACCGGCAGAGCCGAGCAAAGTCCTTCAGCCGGCTTTTTCGATCACCTGTCGATCTATGTAACCTGAAAACCCCCCCAAAAAAAGTACTTGCTTCTCACGAAGCAGTCGCTGACGCAACGGTGTCGCTTCAGTCTTTCTTGCGGTCGCTCTTTGAGGTCTTCATGTGAACAGTCGTGCAGCATGCGAATCGAAATGACTGTCAGACCCAAAGGGTGGTTGTTGGTCGCTTTCAGGCCATGCCAAACCAGTTGAAGCAACCAGGGAGCCTCCTAGCTGTATTCATGTGCTGGAGCTTTCAAGTACTAGAAATGGAGGATTTTTGGGACATCTATACTGCAAAATCTGAACACAATACGCTTGGACTTGTAAGTCGTCCATTCCGCTTGCTTTCCGAAATGACTTCCAGACAGGCGACAGATTCACCGGCAGCGCATCACCAAAGCCTTGGTCACCCAAGGCAGTTCCGACGCAAAAAATACACATTGGTACACTCCCTGGAACTAACATGGAAGTGGAAAACCCTTTGTTTGTAGAGGAAAATGGTCTTCGAAGGGACCATTTTCCACTTCCATGTTAGTTCCAAAGAGTGTATGTTATAACCCAACAAATGTGGAGTGAATGTAATGTATATTGTTCTCGGACGGAGTGGAAGGTTTCTTCGGACGCCTCCATCGACGTATATAGGTGTCTGACTTGATCGAAGCCCGGTTGCCTTGTTCGATCAATAGACTAGGTGGATTTGCCGGATTTGGTGTCACCTAGCTGCAGCTCTTTCCAACGAAATGATTCAGTTTGGTCAAGACTCGCTCGTGGCTTGCCGAACCTGTCGTTGGTGGATTGCCCTGAAGGGCTTTTGGCGAGTTATACATATAATCCAACATCAAGCATCACTGCTGACCATTGTAAGCCCCTGCCTAGGACGTTGTGTGATCATAATACTTGGCCGAGCCACAACATAGAACTCACCTTCGCAACTATGACAATTCACAAACATATGACTATCATATGACCATGTCTCCCAAATCAGGTCCCATCTAAACCATCGTTCTACCGCATAACCTCCACGTGAACAGAACAAACAATCCATGAGTACAAACATGTACAAATTCTTCATATAGCTGAGCCTTAAGCACAAGAAGTAAACCACGTAACATACCGGTTAAGGAGCATTGGTCAAAGGCATCGCTCACCGCCAACAACTGGAGGTTCTCTGGCAACTTGGCCACGGTCAAACCTCGAAGAAACCACGAACGGGTTTGCCAACGCTACCGGCTCTCAGGGAGGCTCTATATCCAAGTGATAAACATCCAACGGAGGTAAACAAAAAAACAGGTGGCCAGGAAAGTCCAAGAGCAATAGGTCGTAAATTGTATATCTACTTGGGGAGCTCTACAATTAGATAGATAGATAGGATAGGATAGGATAGGATAGGATAGGATAGGATAGGATAGGATAGGATAGATAGATAGATAGATAGACATAGCATACGGTTGCAAAACACGTGTCTGACTTCAAAATGTTCAATCAATCAAGCAATGTGGCAATGCCTTGTGGAAAGTGCCTACGAGTATCACAAAGAAAATGCAAAGTGAGCAAAGTGGCAAGTACAGTACTTGTTCAACACCCTTTTACTTAGGGAACCGCTATTTCAGGAAAATATACGTTAGACATGAGCAGGTTGTCAAAGCATCTGAGATCAAGGTCAAACCATCTCGGTGAGTCTGTCAAGGCTCTACAGGATCCAAGGATGAGTTTTGGACGTGAGATCCAAAAAGAAACAACTCCATTGGTGGATTCTAAGAATAGAAACCCAAACAGGGTTGGACAAATGAGAACTGTTGTGACAAAGTTCTCTACTGCAAAACTGAGGGTACAAAGTATGAACCTTTTCTGTACTAAGCTTGGCACCAGCACATTCCTGTCAACGCAATAGGAACAACTACCGGCTAGGCCCTAGGCACATCTTGGCCCTTACACCCCTCCAGAGCAATCTTGCGACTAGAGCGACAAGAACATGAAATGACATGAGACCTGCCTCTCTTAGAACTATACATTTTCTTCACCCTCGAGCATTTGGTGGTCCTGCATGCTTGGTGGGCCTCCGCAGTCCCGCTCACCAACTCTGACAGCACCCAGGAACTCTGGTTGAAGTCGGAGCCGAAAATCAGTTTCTCCAGGCTCTCGGGAAAGTTCACCCTCTCTAGGCCTTTGACCCACGCTGAGCTGGAAAACGGAAGAAATGATACATCTCTGTTTGCTTTGAGACGATGCAACATTGTTCCGACGAATAGTGAATGTCCGGTGCCAATCAGGCAGTGGAGTGTTGAAGTTCCAAGCGCTGTTCTGTGGCCAACAGCGCTTGGACAGCCGTGAGGTCTAATGTTGTGAATCATTTCCGTGAGGTTTAATTTTGCTCTTGGAAACAAGGCCTGTGTATCCATTAGCTGCAACTCACAAGCAATTCCAAATCAAAATATGTCCCACAGGTTCCTCAACACCTGCGCCAGCGTGACCACCGGTTTGTGATTTACCCAAACAATTAACACTTCCTCTTGATTTCGCTGCCTGCAGGGACAAATTCCGCTGCCCTCTTCCAAGCATCCACACAATGGTCATGAGGAACTTGGTGGCCAACACGTACTTTGCTCTGCTGGCTGGTCAATATATGCGGGAAGATCGCAACATCTGGTTCAATATGAAGGATTGCTAGCCCCTATTGAACATGTAGTAGACCGAATGTAGACCAGACCCATCCAAAGCAGGACCCTGGACCAGGTGTCGATTTGAGTCTGCCAAAGGGCTTCGGTTCCACGCGTTGCCAAACTTCAACGTCTTCAGCTTGCTAGGAAATGTGACCTCGAGACATGGACAAAAAACAGCGTTACTTCCACAGCGATGCCATTTTGCTCCGTTCGTAGCGTCCTCTTGTTCCTAGTAGTATGGCCAGGAGCTACGTTCGTAGCGTCCTTGCTCCTAGTAGCGATGCCCTTTGTTGCTAGACCTTACTATTGGCAATGGTTCAATCATCCCTTCCATTGAAACCGTCCTAAATGGTATCGAACAAATGCTGTAGTCATTGCCACTAGCACCATATAGCAAATCCGGTTTCAATTCACATGTTGCTGAACTTTCATTGTTTCCTTCAGATTCATCTCTGATCAATCTCAACACGACATCCTGACATCCCGAACCTCACTCTTGCAAACCTACCGCTCTCGGGTCTCGATCTGTCAGTCTCAATCGGTCTCCTTGTCCACGGGCAAGTTGAACTGATCGCCGATCTGAAACGTCTCGAGATTCGGAGGAAACACCACCTGATCCAAGTCCTGGACACCACGGAGTGTTCGGAGAGCTGGACGCGACGCAAGGTGTTCGGGATGGCAGTTTGACTGTTGCATTCTTGGGAGTCCGACTGGTAGATGTTGCCCAATTCTTTTGCAACATGCAGTTCCCTCAGACTTTGTGGAGCTTGGGGTGTGCGAGAGTTCACATACCTGAAAGGTCGTCTTGCCACCAAACCAAAGCCGTTTCAACCGTATGGCAAAACCACTCGCAGCTGCAAACATGAGAAGGAACACACTACTGGTCCCTGGTGTTGTGTGGTTCCTGCCTGCTGAACGCCCACGTTCACAGGGAACTTGATAGCTGGATGTGGTGAGGCTCTCAAAGACTTTCAATCAGAACACTGGCACCGATTTGCAATTTAACCGGTGGCACTGCAGGTAACTCAGTGTTTTTCCCAGTTGGTTTTCAGAACACAATTTTGGGTACTAGTCACTAGTCTTACTAGTCTAGGGATATTGACTCTACCTTCTATTCTGTCATGCAATCTTTGCTTGACATTGACCCCTTTGTGGCAACATGGTTTCAAAAAAATACACCCTGTTCTGAACCAACTGCATTGTTCTGCACATCCGCCCCCTGTCTTCTTTCTGACAGCACTGTGCTGAACCAAATAACTAAGTCGACCAACATGTTACTGAAAACAAAGCAAACAGGAAAGCCTTTCATATCCCTTATCAGTTTCTGTCAGGCGCATTCCTATTCCTGTCATGTCCTTTCAAATCCCTACCGTCTCCTGTCCTTTCCTTTAAACTCCTCCAATATTCCGCTCACATCCGCTTAAAGAAAACAAAGGTTCGTCTCCAGCCCCCTCTGAACCATTGAGTTTCCTTCTTGAAGTCTTGAGTCAAAACTGTTCATGTTCCATTGGTTTACTTTGGAAGCCTGACATTCCTCCTGTATAGTTTCGTCCATTCTTTGCAATTTGCCTTTGGGTCCACCATGGTCAATGAACATTGACCATAACATGACAGGATCGGCGGTACAGTAGGTGACTCAAAAGGTTGCAACACATAAGAACCTAGACAGTAAGACCGCAAAATAACTATAGACACCTCAAATGCAAAACACATCAGGAAATCGCCCAACATTGTCCTAAAATATGTCGACAGTTTACATATTATCTTCATCAAATCTTCCCGTGATAGGTAGACAAGAAAACAATTTCAATGACAGTTTTAAATATCTCCAAGACATGAAAGGACTATGCAAGGACTTCTAAGTAAATGAGACGAACACGACAAGAAAATGTTTGGAAGGAACACGCAAAATACAATAAAGAACATGCTATTAAAAAGAAACACATGCAACTGACGACTAGAAAAACATGACATAAGGACTCAAAGGTTCAGGTTTCTGGCTGCTTGTTTCCCTTTGCCTCCTTTTGTGTGCCTCCCAAGGTGAAAATTGAGCATATTTTTTAGATGCATTGACTGACTGTTTGGTGCCTAGGGCAGTGTTTTAGCTGGTTTTAGCTATGATACGATCTGAACATACTTTCATCAACTGACCCTGCCAACACACTGAAACAACAACATGGTTTTCTCTACAAGCCAAAGCTTTGGACTCCATCTGTCAAGGCCTTAGTGTGAGAAGGTGTTTTGCCATGCCCTGACCATCTATCCTCCCAAAACCTTTGGCGCACGGCCTGTCCTGTTTGAACCTCTTCCCCAGGACCAGGGTCTTCAAGCCTCACTATCTCGAAAACAATGCCGCTTTCCAGACGGCGTACGCTCGGGATTTCATCGTACAGTACCCCGAGTGGGATATAATGCTCCTATTGTGAGCTTGTGACTTGCGTGGACAAGTAATGACATGTAGTAATTTCAAGGGCCTTTCGTACCAGCAGCCAGCAGCTAGGTGTCCACTTTTTGACATCTGTTGCTTGAAGTGTGGGCTGTTACGAAATGCCTATGGGGACTTGTAGAGCCAAAATGAGGACCTATGGAGTAAACTAGTGTTCTCCCTTGTTCTCCCACTTTCTCATCGTGGCTGCGTTTCTCATCATTGTTTTCACAAAGATCTTCCTCAATATGTTCACGGCGCCTCGCCTTGTGGAAGGCGGGCTTTCTCCAAGCGATGATTGAAGTGGTCGCTGAAGCTCAAGGACTTCCTGGGATCATTGGCCGCTCTGGAAACTGCGATCAACAAAAGGTGTGTGTGAAAGGGAACAAAAAGATGCTTAAAGGCCACGGATAGGTATACTGTCCGTAAGGCTCAAATACTCCAAGAGCCCCAGTCCTAGACTCTGTCACATTGAGCAAAGGAGCTTTTCTCGCTTTTCTGGCTACCGCATTCTGATGGCTGAGATCCTATAGACCTCCTACATGGGACCTACTGTGGGGATTGTCTCTTGCACACTTCGCAGCAAAATTGGATCTCTGTAGCTCGAGAGTCCATCCCGCTGAGCCCATTCAAGAGGAGTACACCGTCTCCACACACTGATCTTGACGCTTCGCAACAGAAGCGAAGGACGGACCCATGGACCGTCCGCACGGCCCATGCCGCTGGAGGACATGACACCTCACCAAGTGCTAGGCATTTTAGGCGGACCTCACCACGCATGAGTAGAACACCTCAACGCACACAAGAAGTTCTGGAGCGAAGAAGCTTCCTGCAAAGTAGTTGCGCGTGGAAAAGCCACAAGTAGAAATCAAACAACTATGGAACCATAGGCTATAGGATGCTATAAGTCTTGTTCTATTTTCCGTTCTCCAGAGTTCATGCGCACCCTAAAACTGTATCGTCACGTCATGTCTTATTGTTTGAAGCTTTGACTGGGGCGTCGAGCTGGGAGTCCATGATTTTAGATATCACAAATGCCAAGCCCACCGCCGCCGGACGCACCTGGCGTTCTCAGTGCCTTCCGAGCTTCAAAGTCGCAGGGAAGATCACCTGGAGACGACCAAGGGATGAGCTGAAGCAGCCGGTTGTGCAGGTGCGGGAGAACAAGATTCCTTGAGAAACATCGTTTTCACATGCATGAACGCTTAGAAGTCTTTAGATAGATAGAAGTGAGTGGTGCCACTTTCGGCAAAGTGGCCTCCTGATCACAAAAAAAATGATTGTACATGATTGTACCCATAATAATGAATGAATGCTTACGATGCCCAGTGACCACTGGGCCTGCAACCTCGGACAACTCTAATGAGCTGCACCTTGGAGCTCCATCAAATGTGAACTTATCTCCAATGCTTATTTGGACCCGGCTCATTTTTCTATTCTGGTTGTTGATACGCTTTAATATGTTTTAACAAATGTCACCTTCATTCACCTTTTATGGTGGAACCCAATCAAATCATTCACCTCGATCCACAATGGGTTTACACATTTTCCTGGGTTTCCTGCCATGCTATCCAGCCCGATCCCGATCCCCCACCGCTTCGTCGCCTCTTTCAGCTCCTGGTCAAACAAAAGGCCGAAGTTCAGCACCTGCATCGATCGACGGAGATCACATCGACACGGCGGTTTGACGTCGGAACATGGGGTGCGCCTCAAGGACTCAAGGCCTCCCCAAGTCCATTTACTTCTAGCAGCTCCACAGAAATGGCTCGGTTTATAGAGCGCTCAGCTCAAAAGGTCGTCGATCAGCCTCTAGGTCTTCCCACCTGCAGGTCGGGCCAGTTCATGAACTCTAAGGGCTGATTGAAGGCGGCACCATAGGTCAAAGTGCGCAAGCTTCGTGGCACGTCCACTTCTTCCAGGCCTAACAAGCAAAGCTATATAGGATGAATTCCTGCACGAGTGTCCATGACATGATGGTGTTTGATGGGTCGTTACGCCCAGGTGACTGAATTCGGCCCGGTGGCTCTACCTTTCGCCTTCAAGACTAGTGGTTAGCGTCAGCCACTAAAGACCGAGTACACAGCTGCCTTCATGTCACCGAGGTCACCGAGGTATATCGCTTCGTTCATGATGGTCTGGTATATCGACGAAAGCACCCAGCTTCCCACCGTTGGTGAATCAGCAAGTGAATCCTAGCTTCCTACCCTTTCGTCTATGCCGAAGCAGCAAGCTACAGCTGCCTTTTGGACAAGCCACGCACGTTGCACGCGGAGTGAAAACCTAACTCTTCCAAGCCGTCGGGCAGATCCGTCATCCTCGGACAGCGTGCTCGATCGCAACTCCGCACTTCCGCCGGTGTCTTTCCGGTGTCTTTCCGCCGGTGTGTGGTTTTCGGTCCACCGCCGGCACAGAGACCTCTTCCATAGCATGGCGGGGGGGTGCGGCTATGGGCCATGTGATGTTTTGCTGTCGAGTGGTTCTTGGGATGCACTGTTCTTCTCGTTGAGCCCTCGAATGGGGTTGTTCTCGTATACTCCCACAATCAACTCATCAACCTCATAAAGTTAAAAGACCTTTGATGTCCTTTCAGGGACCCTCTTGCATCTCATTGTCCTGCCCAAAGCAATGAATCATCAAACACCAAGTCTCATCCAAAAGCATGAATGATCCCTGACGTGTCATCACCTCTGTGAGTTGGACCAACGACAATCGAATCCTTTCGAAGACCAAGCGTCTGATCTTTGTAGCGGATCCCATCAATGACTTTAATGCCCTGCATCGCCACTTCTCCCTGCGCCGTCGCACTAACACGCCGAGGGGCGCAGTAAACCTACACATCAACAAACAACACCCAGGAAATCACAAAAATCTAAAGCAAAACACAAATATATATATATAATTATATATATTTTTGATAAACTTCAATCTATAGTGTGTAACATCGTGTAACATTCAATCTGACTGATTTGTTTATGTTTGTTTCACAAAAAGGCCTGGGTACCGAGCACTTTGTGAACACTTTGACTCTGACCTTCCATGATTGTGCATATATAGAAGCAGCTACTACGAGTCGCAGGGCCCGGAGGGCTATGGAATTTTGATGGACATTGTTTGTTCTATATGGGTGTATTCTTGCTGCGTTATTATTGTGGTGCAATAAACAATGTGTGCCTACTAAAGCGTTCCGTCAGGCAACAAATGCACCAGCTCTCTTAGTAGTGCTGTCTAGGCCAATGGCCTCTGCCCAACGCTTTCTCCGGCCAAGCCATGTGTAGCATGTTCAGTGAGTTTCATCATGTTCTTTCTCGGTCCCATCAAAAGCATGCCAGTGACTTGACTTGACCATCATGACCATGCCGTGCAAGGAACCTTTGCCGTACGCCACTGATTCTTATCAGTTTTGGTGCAGCTTCGGCGCGCCACCAAGTACTTGATCAAACAAACTCTGTTTGTAGAGAAAAACTATTCCAAGGTCATTTTTTGCACTTGAATGCTTCATATTGGTTCATCACTCGCATAGCAAAAGCCCTTAAGTCCAAACTCCCCTTCCCGAAGAAGACCCATCCGCCATCCGCATAGTATCTCCAATTGCTGGCTGGGCTGGTTCCTAGCAAGGTTCATTTGGCATTGTGGATACTTGGAGAGTTCTTTGGATGCTTCTTCGAGATTCAGCATGGTCCGCGGCCGAAAAGTCAGCCTCGTTCACTGGGAGCTTCTTGAGGAATTTCCAGGCGTGGTGCACGTTCGCAGGCATGTAGATGTAGTTCAAGGTTTCAACCTGAAATTCAGTGACTTTGGATCAGATTGGAACATGGAACTTTTGTTGTCGGTGTTTGATTGCTTAGAGCTCCCTACTCTGCAGGGAAAAAGACATGTCTTGACATCAATGCATAAATCATAATAAATCCCTGAGAGTAGCTGAAAACAAAATGAACAAAGAGGAGTGGCAAACCGCCTGGAAACATGGTCCCTCTTCCCAAGGGTTTGACCATTTAATTCTACCAGTCTATACCCGTCTCCAAGTTGGTTAGGGCCTCGAACCTGGAAAAAAAGAACGAACCCGGGAAGGGCAAGGCATCAGCAAGGGGCCCAAGAAGTGGAAGAACAACATCCAACACGGGAAAGCCCCGTGTTCAGCGTCACGTACAAACAATTGAGGAAGGCAAGTAGTGGACGTCAAGAGATAAAACCAATTTGACCATATGGGTTTCCCATGTCAAAACCATTCAAAGCAACTAGCTAGGCTAACCGCCCACCAGGTGTTCAACACGTCCCGGCACCCAGGACGTGGATGCACACTTCCGCCCCATGTGCCGGGCCACTGGTCCTGCCAGACCTGCCTCCTTCAATGTCCGCTTCAACGAGAGCATGGAGGCCTGACGGCCAGCTTCACACTTTGGGTGGGCTGTAGAGGAAAATCGTCTTCCAGTCAGGTCCACCCGGGTGTCTCGGAACCATGTGGGTCTCGGAACCCGGGTGTCTCTCTCCGGTCCGACCGGTCCGCTTCAAGCGTGGTGACCTTTCGACTCACCGACGTTCCAGATCAGCCCATCCCCGAGAAGAGCATCATCCACCCCGAGCATGTCCGATCTTGCTTCGCCAAAGAGTGCGATCTACCGAGCGCCTGGTGTTGCAATGAGATGAAGGCTCCAGTCTTCTCCGGCAGCTGCGCCGCTACGGTGCATCTGAGCTCCCGCACCTCGGAGCCGCGGAGCCGCTGGTGTGGAGAGGACAAGTCGAGTGACCAAACGGACTAAGTCATGGAGCTGTGCACTGATGCTTGATTGAATTTGCTGTCCTCTACGACTTGCAAAACGATACGTGGTTATTTAGATCAATTTGGAGTCAATGCAAATATTTGCCCTGCACCGTATGGATCCGGATGTTCTGTATATATGTTCCATATTGTTGCAAACAATGCAAGGCATTGTGGAATCTGTGAGGCTATCCACGAAGACATGTCCCAGTCGTTCTCCCAGGCTATCATTTTCTACAAAGAGTTACCGCCACCGTCTCATTTGAAAGTGTTCTCCAAGACGGTCAGCCCAAATTTCGCCCCAAACATGCGCCCGTGCTCAACCCATCCACCCCCATGTTCGCCAGGTCGCTGTCATTGAGTCCGGTACTTTCAGCACAATCTCTTCACCATCCAAGCCATTCACCTCACCCCCGTCGTACCGAGCGAGCAAGCTGAGGTTTCCGCAAACCAATGTGAGGGTGGGTTGCAGCATCGAGGGAATACATGGGAACATTGAGTGCCATGATGCACAGCGAAAGCTTGTGAGATGCATAGAGACATTGTATAGACATTGTGTCCAAGTAGAACCATTTCGCATGGGCCAAATTGACGTCGGTGTTTCTTTTTGTACCCACCTCCACGCCTCATACCACCGAGACTTAAGCAAGGCACATGGATCTCCAGGATCTTCTCCTCCGGTATATCCATCATTGGCCAATCAGGGCAGGACACCGGACAAGAACGACCAAGAATCCAGCTAGGTGCTCTCGATGACCAAGGTAGTTATATAGTTTGAACATGTTTGAACTTATTGTTTTACAAACGGCCTTGTTTGTCTGTCCTGTTCAAGTGACCCAAGTTTGAATCAAAGAGTTGTTCTTCCTTCTCCAGGCTACGCGCTTTTGGGACTTCATATGTTGCGATAGGCCAAGCCATCCACTCTGTCAATCGGTCGCTTGAACCTTGCTTCACTAGCTCTGATGTTTGGAGCCCACAACGGCGGAGCGGCGACATCCTCTTTCCAAACATGAGGGGGTTATGAGGACATGGGACAGGACTGGCGAGTCATCGTGTTTCTCTGTTTATAGGTTTGGTGAGTGTCCCCCTGTGCAAACACCGAAAAGGTTGACTGTCCATGACATGGCTTTTTTCTGTGTGATGCGTAGGTCCCCTTGAGTCTAGTGGCCAAACACTTGGTGTGAATCGCCATAGTCATAGCATAGTCATCCTGCAAAGGAATGCGAACATGCTTGAATGGACGACCAAACAAACAAACATGAACTGCTTGAAGTTACTTCCATGGACTTTACAAGCTCGGCGGGTCATTACACTGATTTGTTGAACCTTCCAAGGGGAACTGCACATCTTCATTACAGGGTCGAAACCTTTGTCATGTATGTGGGAGTCTCATTCAGTATTGTTTCCCATCCAAAGGTCGGCACTATGGCATGTAGAAAGTTAAAGGCACGAATCTGACTACATATCGTATGCTCCTTGACACACATCAATCACAGTAACCACAAATCTCTGAACATTTCAGCGGCCATGGATTAAACACGACATTATTCATTGACATGAACACCCCCCCCATTCGTTGCCACTTTGTGATCATCAAAGTTGAACAAAAAGCCAACATTGATGAACATTCACATCGCAGTGGACTGACGAAGACACATTGTTGGGCAATCCGCTTGATTGGTCCTTTGAACTTCTCAATTCCATGTCTAAATAAGCTCTTAACAAATTCACAGGGAATTATTAAGTTGATTTAAGTTGTTACTAGTGTTTAACAAGTTTTGTAATCAGTTGGTCATTGAGTGTATTTCCAAGTTGTTAACAATTCAACCATCTGCTTGTGCATACCAGGATCTCCGGTCGTATCTGGTCGTCAAACCCCTCCCCAGTTCGAGCCCGCCTACGTTTGTACTCTTCGAGTTCAGCCTGGCTGGACCTGGCGAGTTCCAGTGGATTCTTGGCGCCCAGTGAGCAGCTTCGACATCTCTGGGGATTGGCATCAATCATGTGAGAGGATCTGGGGTGGAGGTGGCAATCAAGAGGAGGTTGCTAAAGTGTGAGGGAAAAGAGCAGCAATTCAAGCCATCAACTTGACGTCATTCGAAAAACATCCTGCAACAAAAATTGGCGGAGAGGTCAACTCGAGAGATCAACTTGAGACAGACCGGGGGATGATCTCCCCAAGCTGGCTTCTCCAGAAATCCCTTTGTGTGATGATTCCTGAAGCACAGGGGAGTAATGAGTTTGGTTAAGGAATAATGCTCACCGAGGACAGGGCTGGACAACAGAACGATAGGTTCTTGGGGAACAAACCGAAAACAATGCGTACCACGGCAGCTTGGCCTCTATGCATTAAAGGAATGAAGTCAAGCCCCCAAGATACCACACAAAACACTACGCGGAACGTCCCTTTGGGACCAGCACATCAGTCCAAACCACTTGCAACAACCCACTTTGGGACCAGGCGTGCCCGTCTCAAGGAGCGAAACAACGACGCTGGAAGCGACGCTGGATCCGAAGGCCTGGCCTGAAGAGTTCGATGTAACGCCCTTGGATCTCTTGGCGTTGCTTCTGCTCCTCGGCCAGGCTCTCAGCGACTTTGGTCTGTGTCCGCCTCCACACCTATCACCTCCTGAGGCGCCTGCAATGGCCGCTTCGGCCAACTGAGGAGACTGGAACATCACAAAAGCCTGGCAAAGCGAAGATGAGTGCGCCAACGAGACAAAGGATGAGGGGGCTCCCAAACCTTGTGACCTCATGTTCTTTTGTCATGTTATGCGGTGAGAAACAAGCACCAAAGCCCCCTCTGTGGTGAGAAAGCCCCCTTGGTTCGACGGAGCATAGGTGAAAAAGGACACAACACACCGAGACACTCCCAAAGACACTCCCAAAGACAATCCATTAGGTCTCGACATCGACATCGAAACTCGGTCCCGGTCTGCGCCAGCGCAGACGCCTCTCCGGTCGATCGGCCGTCTGGCTTCTTGATGAAGGTAATGTCCGGCCTGGGCGTCCGGTGGGCCCCTTGGCCTTGCCTGCGTCCTGGGTATGAGATGGTCTGAGGGCGTCAAAGTCCATCTCGTATTCACCCTGCCAATTTGGAGGGTGCAATTGACACTAGTAGTAAGAATGCTCTTAGTAGCAATGCCAGGAGCCCCTAGTAGCGTCCTTGCTCCTAGTACAGTAGTAAGGCCAGGAGCCCCTAGTAGCTTCTCGTTACCAGTAGTAATGCCCTTGTGTAATTGACATACATTGACATACTGACATACACACCACTGCGAGAAGATTCGGATGATTCCGCACGTTGGACAAAAACGTCCCTGGGTTCCGACGTGGTGTGTTCCGATCGTCAACTCCTTGTACTGGGCCCGTCTCCAGCGACACAAGGTTTTCGATCGCATGAGGTTTCACATCAACGGCTTGCACTTGGTGGTTGACTTCAAGTCTGCGAAACGGCTTGAATCTGGAGATCACCAATTATCTGAAACTCTTGTTTCCAGCTTGATTCACAGCCATCGCTATGTCCCTTTTTCCATCCTTTTAGTATCAAAACAGGTGTCACTTCGCAGGCACGGTACAGTGTCCAGGACAGCCCACCACCCCTTTCTCCAGTCACCCCACCCCTCCCTGGCTCCCGGCTCTCGGACGCTGTACTCTGCCAGGAAGGCCAAGACATCCGGGGTACCACCTTGGAAGGGCACCTCAGCAAACACGAAGCAAACCACAATGGCCTGTGATCGATGTGGATGTGGATGAAAAAAACCGACCTTCCAGTCTCCCATCTGAATTCATCCTGCACCACACATTCAACCTTCTTGGAAAGCGAACCAGCTGGTGAATCTGCAAAATCTCCATGAGATCAAGACGGTTGCAGCCAACGCTTGCGTGAAGCGACGCACAATCTCTCCTCTGGGCGGCCCAAACTCCACGAAGTCTCACCACGGTGCTGCTGACACCTCGTTGGCTGGTGACCATCGGATTGCACTATGGTGCTGCATTGATTGCTGTTGATCAACAGCGCTAGGCGCTAGCTATGCATTGCCTATGTGTTGGTGTCATGGTTATTTGTGGTTCCTGACTGACCCGTTTGAACTCTGGCGCGTCAGCTCGTGCCATGTTCCAACCTGTTTGGACAAACTGTGTAAACATGTTGGTGGTCTTTCCTAGGATCACAAATCTCCAAATTTGCCTTTCCCCACTCAGTGTTGAGTACAGATTGAAAGCGGACCTTGCTCTTCCAGCGGTCCCAAGCACCCTTTGTTCAAAACAAATTTAATACTTAATCTCAACACTGGAAACATCAAAAACAGAACAAGGTGGCCTTGAAAACCATCGTGACATGTTTTAAGCCATCAAAACTCTCTGGTCAAACCAAAAACGTATTGGCTATGTTCAGAACAGGTTTAGGATTTAGGATTTACCCTGGTCCGTAAGGTCGTTGTTTGTTCGACCACGGCCAGTTCTATCCTTCGGTTACTAGAGGATCAACACCATGCGACGACTTGGTGGAGAAAACTAGTTCAACCTGCTTGTGGTTGCCAAATTCATAGTGGGATAGATTCCCCACACCTCCTTGTGGGTTTTCGCGGCCGTGCGTCACACATCGTCCCACGTGCGTGGCACCCTGTCGTTTTTTGGGTGCCCCGGGCAAATCTGCTGCGCTGCCAGCTCCACATCATTGCCACAACGGATGGCCTGTCAACAGTGGAGACCGCGCGTGTGGCTGGAAGTGGCTAATGCATTTTAAAGGTACGTCCGTTCCAAAAAACTTTACTGGCACTGATCATCCCGAGTTAGTAAAGGCACAGAAAGTCGACAAGTTATAATGCTTGACACAATTGGATGGTACCGACCAGGTGTGGATAATACGTCTGCACAAAATTCCTTCAAACAAATGCAAATAACTCCTGGAGGTTCACGAGTTGCTCAAATGCCACCTGCTGTCTCGAGTTTCATCTCCCAAGATCCTTAAGCCTGGGGACAAGTGATAACTAACACACACTTAGATCCATGCTCGCAAGAGCTAAATCAGTTTGGCAACTCCCATGAGGTTAGCACTTTAGGTGAATACTTAGCGCTTGACTTGCAGAAACGCAAAAGTCGGCGGACCAGAATGTTTGAACAACGGCTCACTAGCACTTTACGAGAAGAGGAGAGTGACAGCTTATTCAACAGTTCAAAGAAGAAAGGTGAGATTCAAATTTGCAGGTGCAAGATACTGCGTCCAGTATCTCATCCAACCGAACACCATAGCTTTGTTGGCACGACTAGTCTGGACATAGGTTTAAACGGTTTAAATAGAAATTGGCAGGTTCAAAAAGCTTTTACTCAAACAATGTGGTGATTCTCCTTTGGAACAGGAGGTGACACACTCACACACACAGCCAAACAATTGTAGAATTTTGTCCATGAGTGGCCGGGCCTGTCAACACTTGAACGAAGGGCGCTGGTGGAAACAAAGGGCGCTGTGGAACCACCAAGCGCCAGCCAATTTCGTTGCAAAATGACAATTCTTGGTAAAAGAACTGGACCACAGAAGACGGGGGATGTTACTAAACCAAAATCTAAGTAGAAACCCATATGGGATACATTGGGATACCCTTGAAACATGTTTATCCAGTAAGGTTCCCACAAAGGAATTTCAGAGGTACAAAAACAAGGCCACGTGTTGATACACACGTCAATACTTGACTTCAATCTAAATGTCGCGGTGCATTTCCTTTGTACTTCAGCTTTCCAAGTTCACACT